TAAGAAAGCCGCGAACACACGCTGCCGTCGGCGAGTCTGAGTGCACACAAGGAGACTAAAGCGGGGGGGCAGGGAGAGCAGTAATATAAAAATAGAGCGGAAGAGGGGGGGGGGGGGGGGGGGGGGGGGGGGGGGGGGCAGGGACTGTGCTAGAAACTCTTACCTCTGGCGGTGGACTGCCATGGCCGGAGCATTCTATCAGCCCGCCCGAATTGTTGGAGAACTCAACGCGATGCGGCGGCTCATGGAGAAATATTGGTCCCTGCAGATCCAGTCCATTCACAATTTGGCTCGTCTCGGCTGTGCAGGGAGAGGCAGAAGAGAAGTTTCAGTTAATTTTAAATTTTTAATTAAATGTTTTGCTTGTTTTTCAGTGGGTGTAGCAGGGGGCTGGGGCAGGGTCTCTATGCCGCACGAGCGCCCAAAGTTAATTTCAATTTTTGGTTAGACCAAAAAGTCTCCCTCCCGAAATTAAGTAGCAGCCAGCGGCTTTCTTTTGGCCTCGTTCTGCCCGAGCTTTCTGGTGCCTGGCCTAAATTTTAATGAGCGCCACAACAAAGGCTCCGCTCTGGAGACAATTGCTTTTTACCTGCCGGCCATTGTGTGGCACTGACCACACCACACACAGCCAGCCTCCCCTCTAATTGCTCTGGTCGTTGCATAATTTTGTGGGCCTTGCTTTAAAATTGCTTTTGATGCTCGGCTTTTATGTCTTATTTATTATTCACAAGGCCCCCGAGGCTTGGACAAGGCTTCAGGCGTTGTCGGCTTCCTCCTCCTGCAGCATGAATAACTCACGAAGCGGCGGCCGCAGAGATTCTCAGAGCGAGAGAGAGACTAAATTTGTAAGCAATTTTCAGCAGTTGCCGCTGTCTCGGTGCTTGCCCCGACGCAGTCGTGCAATAATATGAAAAATTGTTTTGTCAAAAAGGCATTAGGCGAGAGATAACGACAGGGGGGTGTGGCACGTGGCACGAACCCCCCAAAGTGTAGCACAAACTTCGTTGCCGGCGGCTTCTGGGCTGTCAACTGCAATGCCCAAAGGAAAGGAAAACAAAAAAGAAAACCAAAATGTTTGTGGGGTTTGTGTGTTTGCCGCAAGTTGCAGCATTACATTTTGCAGTTTTAGTTCGTAAGTCACTTAAGATAAAGTTTTTTCCTGTAGAGACAACCTCCCATCCGACCTCCCACCTTCACTCTAAACTAAAAACTTTCCTCACCCAGACACGCTCTAATGAAAATTTAATTATCCACCGAGAGCGCGGGCGAGTTGAAGTTGTGGGAAAGTCTTTTTATTTTCTACAAACTTAATGGCAAATGTGGGATTGGTCGGGCGATGTGTGCCGATGAGTGCGGCTGAGTCTTGAGTTGTTTTGGGATTTTGCAGGTAGGATTTCAATTAAAACTTTGTCTTAGGCCCCCAGACAAACTGCAGCTAATTAGTGGCAGTTCGAGATGAGTTTTGCAACCGCTTGACTACGGAAAACTGTCATCAAAATGTTCCACAAATTCAATGGGTGGAAGCTGCCTGCCTGCCTGTCTGTTCCGACTGCTGCTGCTCCTGTCGCTACTCTCCCTTTTGCTACTCAATCCTCTGCACAATGGCCTGACTGATAAACTCAATGAGGGGCTGCCACAGCCATCCAATCCAGCCGTTAATGCCATGCCCTGCCACCTCCCTGGATGCACTCTCTGCACGCCATTTGTCAGTGTTGTCAATCAAAAGACAGCGCCAGATAGAGAGTCCCAGTCCGAGTGCGAGGCTGCTGGTTGGCAGCTTATTAATGTAAGTGCCGCGCACATTTCCCTTCAGCTAAAATCAATTACGCGCCAAAGAACTGGGAGTGGGCAATGGCAGAGACTTAACTAAATGAGAACTAGCAAAGGCAGCAGCAGCAGCAGGAGTGGGGCATCATTATCACGGATCATTAACATTTCACCGTGAAGCCCTGACAAAAGGGAAATGACAGTAAAGCAGGAGCCAGCAGCAGTAGCAGAAAAGCAGCAAGGAAAATAAGAAAAGAAAAGAAACGAACAGTTGACAGACAGCAAATGCAAATGAGCAGCAGCAGCAATGACTCCTCCTGCTGCTACACAACGAAAAATAAAGCACAAGCGGGGTTTGGCTTGCAACAAGGGATTTCGCCCTGGCCACAAAAGGACCAGACAACTCCTTTGAGTAACTGCTTCTGGGGTACTCCTTCTGGCAGTCTTTACTTGATTTTCTCAAGTGTATGCCAGCCACGAGTGCGTTTTGGCTTAATTAAGACAAAAGCTCTCTTTCTCCTGACTTCAATTCCCATTTCGTTTCGCTTTTGGCTCGTTGTTGTTGCCGCTCTAAACGACTGGAAAATTCTCTTTGAAAAATGTCTGCGAACAATAATGAAGTTCTGGCTCCGCTCAGCTAAATCAGGCTAACAACTTTGCCCCTCAAACAACACACAATTTAAATGAAAAAGCAATTTTCAGCAGAAGAGCAAAGCAACAGCAGCGACAGAGCAGCATTAAAGCTGATTTCCATACGCCGTGGGAGACAGTTTGGCCCGTGGAAAAGCAAGGGGCAAAATGGCTTGACAAATATACTAAGAGGAGAGGCAGTTACAGTCAGCCAAGAAGTGCGAGTCGTGGGCAACGTTGTCCTGAGCTGGCTACAGCAGCAGCAGAGGCCATTCCTGGAGTGTCTCTCTCTCTGCCCATTACAGCTCCGAGTTCGCCTCAAGTGCACGCATTTTTCTGCTTAAAAGCCTCGACTAATGCGAGCCGATGGATGTGGGCTTCAGGCATGGGATTCTTCAGCTCTGTCTGTGTGCACAGGCCAGATAGATGTGTGCGAATGTAAAGTGTATTTGCTTAGGTCAGAGGCAACTTGACTTTTGCTTTGACTAAAACCAAACAGGAAACAGGAAACAGGGAAAGTGCCTCGAAATTGGCAACTTTTCATTGCACGAAAAGCGGGTGGGCAGCCGCCAAAGAATCGTATCTGAAGTTTGCATCTCATTTGCATTTGCATTTGGCAGCTCATCAATCTCTCGGCAGCTGCAAAAGTAGCAAAATAATTAAGCTGCGTTGCGGCTTTTGTTGCCGCTGTGACACTTGCCACTTCCTCTCTCCCTGGCGCTCTTTTTGTGCAACTCAAAAAGCCAAAGTTATCAGCAAAAGATCAACGACAGAGCAGACATGCCTCATGGCCCATGTCCATGTCCTGGCTGGCTGCAGGCGCTTTTGTTTCTTTGCCCACTGCCAGAGTCAGAGTCAGAGCGCATGATTCTGCTGCTGATTCGACTACTGGCTGCTGCTGGTTGCTCCTCCCAGCTCCTGCCGCTGCTGACTGTGACACTAAAGGACCTTCCTGCCTTCTTTCATTCTGCCTACTGCTTGTTGCTGATGATGAAGCTGATTATGGCTCTGCATGCTTTGGACTTAAGCTCCTGGTTGGTGCCTGGCTCCTTGGACAATGTTGCCAGGTCCTTGCACAAAGCTCCAGACCAGCTCTGCTCTCAGCCCTGTTTTTGTTTCATAAAATAGCAGTCGTCGCTGCCAGCAGCTGCATAATCTTGGCCCTCCTGCTGCTGCTGCTGCTGCTGCTGCTGCTGCTGCGATATGCAATGTGACGAACTGCTCCTGCCCTGCCCCACCTACAGGTCCTTCCACCAGCTATTCCTTTCATGCGCTGCCATAACGTGACATTCGAGGTCATTCACATTTCGAGGGCGTGTTGTTGAACTTGTGGTGTGAAGCGGGGACGGGGACGGGGACGGGCACACAGCAGCGCGCACACAGGAGCGGATTCAGCAGGGTAAGGGATACTCCTGAAAAGGTTTTTCTTTGAGAAAACTGCAGGGAGGAGGGAACTCTGTAACTCTAAAGTAAACCCAAAGGGAGTCGGGAAGATCTTAATGCTGCAAAGAATTTACTACAAATCTTTTCCGCGCACCTAAGCCACGTTTTTGTGACCCTCTGTTAGAGCTCAATCCGCTCCTGGCTCTGCTCCGCGCGTTTGTGCCCAAGATATTTGCACAAATATTTCTTTCATCCCCTCCTCGGCCAGTCGTGCATTTGTTCAGCGGGTCGTGGCTGCTGGCACCGTGTCTGGGGCTCTCGCTTGCTAAATGCCGTGACACATTAGACAATGAGGATCTCTAATTATGGCTCGAAAACTGCAATTAACATTTGATCCTTGCTACCCGTCTTCCTGGTGCGCTGCTGAGTCTTCTGTCTGCACTTCGCCTTCTGCCAAAGTGCGTCGCGTGTGTGGTGCAAGCTCTTTTGTGTGTGCCCCGAAGTGTCGAGCCACGCCAGTGGCAGAAAGTTTCACAAATGCCGCTGCCAGCTCCCCCTCCCTGTCTCCCTGTCTCACTGTCTGGGCATGTGAAACTTTTTGCTGTTGACTTCGTTTCTTTGAGGCCGCAACAAAAGTGAAACGTGTGCTTTTCAATAATTCAGTTTTATGGCACAAACTTCCCCTCGCTCCGCTCCCTGCCTGCAAAAAGTTGGTGGAGCGTCCCTCATTAACAGCAACAGCAACATCAGGCATCAGGCATCAGCCTCGGCGTTAATTGAAATGCTTTTCGCTTTTCAATGTACCCCACTCTGCACACTCCCCCCCGCCTATGCTGCTGTTCCCTTAGCTCAACATTTAATTGCATATCTAACGAGGGAGGGGGGGTGGAGAGTGCCCCGCTGCAATTGAAATTCCCTCAACTTAATGCAAATTCAAATTATTTTCATCGATTACGGGCAGGGCCAAAGTGCTTGGGGGGAGGGTGTTTTTTGTTTGTGGACTAATACTCACCTCGTATGACATACAGGATCAGGACGGCCTTAAAAAGGCTATGTAAATCCATTTTTTATGCGCACTAATGCTTTCCATTACATTTTTTATGTCTGGGATTTTAAATGCCGAATTTCGCTTTGATTTGTTTTGTTCTCTCTTTTTTCTCCCCCCCTTTTAGGCAAGCTTTTTTCTGCGTTGCTTTACTTTGTTGCTTGCTCACTCACTCAAGCACTCACGCGTGCTGTCGTCTGTCCCGCTCTCTCACTCGCTCACGCTCATGTGCTGCTGCTGCTGCTGCTGCTGCTGCCGTGATTGAAGCTGTGCAAAATGTTAATGGTTTCCCGTTTTGTTTTGCTGTCGCTGTCGCTGCTGTTGTTGTTGCTTTTACTGTTACTTCTGGCTGTTGCTTTTGCTTTTGGCGCTCGTTACGCCGCCTCTGGTTATATTCGCTGTTTATTTATTTTCCGCATTACGACGTGCCCGCGCATATTAGAATTTTGAATTCGATTCGAGCTGCGATTTTAATGTGCCTGCAAAAATACAAAGCGAGAAAATTGTGAATTAGTTTTAGGGCAAGATACATAATTCTCTTTAGTAAGTCTCTGAAAATTCTGGCACTCGGAGCCAAGAACCTATTTTTCATGCGTGTTTTTTTGTTTGTGTGTTGTTTTTTTTCTTAAAGCTTTTGTTGCCACAGCTCCCTTTTTTTCCTTTTGATTTCACTTGACGATTCCCATGTCAGCGGGTATATTAATCATGTCAAGTCAGTGGCACAAAGCGTGTGCCCCGAGTACAAGCGACTGCGGGTGGGGGTGTAGCTAGAGAGAAAGAGATTAAAGAGCGAAAATACACAAGGAAAAATTTCGGAGCAGTGCAGTAACTCCAATGAAAAATCAGCTGAAACTCCCATGCAGCTAGGGAAATTTTCTGTCATTTTTTGTTGGCAAATTCAACTCAAAATTGCTCACAAAACATCTTAGACTTTGCTTTTTCTTAGTGTACAAATCTCTCTGCCCCCCTCTTTGAAGTCTCGCCCTATAGTTGTGTGCTGGCATTTTCTTCCCGGTTTCGGGTCTTTTGCCGCCCCTTTGAGCGCATTTTTATGCTGCCAGTGAGAGGGAAAATTATGCATCAGCGCGAAATTGGAGCGCCATAAGTTTGCCAACTGAAGTGCTGACATCCTCATCTGCTGAACAGTGTAGAGTGGAGGGAGGGAGCACTGAGCTGTAGCTGTAGCTGTAGATGGAGTCGTAGACTGAGCCACAGCAAAGCCTTTGCTGGTTGCAAAATATGACAAAAATATGCTAAAACACGTGTGCCTGTACGCATATCTCCCAGCAATCCCGCCTCCCCTCCCTTGTGCCGCTCTTTGGCGCAGTGGTCCCCAAGGTAAACTTCTGGACATTGTAAAAAACGAATAAAAGCAATACACAGAAAAGGAAACGAGCAAAGAAAGCAAAAAAGCGGCACGAAACTTGAAACTATGCAAAAGGGACACTGGAACTCGATGCCGAAAAAAAGAAAGAACGCAAGAGAGAGACAGATAAAAAAGGAAGCGTATAAAACTGTCAATAACGATAAAGTAGAGAGTCGAAAAGGGAATGGTAACAAAATGCCGCTTAAGCAACATGGAAATTATGCCCAGTGCGAATATCATCAGCAAAACTGTTGGAAACTGGCAACAGGGGGTGGGGAATGCTTCGTTTATTTTCTTCGTTACTTGTTGTATTTTCTTCTGCTCTGAATACTCCCCACTGCCACTCCCACTGCTGCCGCAACTCTCGGTTCCTTTTTTTTGTTTTGTTGTTGTCCCCTCTGTGTCCCCGTAAAAAATCATGACTTGGCAATTATGCGGCAAGTGTGCGCAATGGGCAACACTGGCAGCAAACAAAAGAGAGAGAGAGAGAGAGAGAGAGAGAGAGAAAGGAGGGCACAGAGAGTGAGAGACGGACAGGAGACAGAGTGAGAGATGAGGGGGGGAGCACACACAATGAGAGATTGAGCAAGGAACAGCCAGAGCAGCAGCAGCACAGAGCAAAATAAAGCCAAGAACATGCATATATATTACGCATACGCCGCATTGCACTGACAACGTTTGCTAAATTGCTGGCAATTAGTTGAAAAGTGCGACGACAGCCAGCAGAAAAGCGTATCAAAATTGCAGGCTTAAGCAGACAAAAGTCAGAGCAGAATTGTGTACCCAAAAAGAATTTCCACAGAAACTTGCAGCAAGAAAGTTGGCATCAAAATGCTCCCAAATTTAACTTAAATAATATTCCACTGTAGCCAGAGCTTGCCCCACCATTTCATGGACTCAACCTCCGCCGAAAGCAAACAAAATTTAAACATTTAAAAGCCAGCTAATGCCCGCTTAAACTCTTCCTTGAAATCCATCAGAAGTGGTCCGCTGATCAAAGCGGAAACTCTACTTTGAGCTGCCACTTCTGGCCTGCCATTGCCCCTCTATTTCCTTTATAGATTGTTGAGTCTTTGCCAAAGGCTTAGACACTTGAAGTCAGCTTCGATTTATTTGTATTACACTTAGCGGTGTGTCTGCCTCGGGCTGTCCGCCTCCTGCCGTCGCCTGTGACAATTTGTGCCATGGAAAAGGCATTAAAGCCTGCCCAAGGCAGCGCCAAGCGCACATGTGGCCAAAAGGGAAGGAAGGAGAAAGGAGCAGACAAGGCCAAGACAAGTGCAATTTATAGACTTCAACGCTTGGCCAGGTCCGTGTCCGTGTCCGTGTCCGTGTCTGCTCTTGGGTCTGACTGCTCAAGTAACGGCAGTCTCCGCCGTATGGCAGCAGCAGCCATCGTGTCTGCCAAATACGTGATTTATTTTAATAGATAATCATTATGCCATCGATTTCTATCATGTCTGTGGCATCTGTTTCGCTTGTTGCATGCCACTCCACGACCCAGCTCCCAGCTCCCAGCTGCCAGCCCAACTGTCGCTTCTGTTGTACGTGCGTCAATAAATCAAAATCAAATGGCTTTTAGCTTATTGTTTTCGCGTGAGTAAATAGAAAGAAAAAAGACAGATAAATAAACATGTGTGCGACAAATGGGCATAGGTTAATGCCCATAAAAGTAGGCTACAAATTGGATCTAAGCTTTACGACAGAGAGAGAGAGAGAGAGAGATAGTCAGAGAGTGGGAGATGAAGTTGCATCACGGCTTTAAGCGGTGGAGCTGCTGCTGCTGCTGCTGCGGTCATAGTTCACGGTTCATTCACATGGCGTAGCCGTATTTAAATTGTGCCATTATGCACTCGAGAGACCACACACACACAGAGTCAGGCAGACCCTCTCGCTAATGACTTTTTACAGCATCTCTGGGTACGGCTGCCGCTGCCGGTGCGCCTGCCACAAAAAATCAATAGAATGCAAAGGACCAGAACCACGGACTGCATGGGAATCTCGGCTGGCAAAACAAAAGGGGCTCGGGCAAGCAGAGAGAAACAGAGACAGGCACACAGGCGGTTGTGCGGCGGGTAGACAGAGGACAGTGGACTATGGAGAGTCGCAGAGTGGACGAGTGGCAGAGTGGTCCAGAAGGTTGTCGGTTGTCGTCTGATGCATTGTAACACTGGCCGACCGGCTGGCCGCAAACAAACAGCGGCAGGCAGACACAAATGAAAATAGAAATGAATGTAAAAACTAGTAGAGAGAAAATCAATAAACCGAAAGCATGAAGCAACAAACAAACAACATTCCAGTGGGGAAAATGCATAACAAACTGTGAAATGAAAAGCCAGAGCTACAAAATTGTGCAAGAAATTATATGCATAAAAATATATATATATAAGGAGGAGAATAAAGGGTGGCAGAGGTAGTGCCTGTGCCTGTGCCTTGTGCCTGTGCCTTGTGCCCTCTTGCCTCTGAAGTGCACATAAAAATCATTTAAAAACAGCAGCCAAGCAGACACGGAGCAGAGCACAAGCTTGGGGGCAGGACCCCTCCACAGCAGCAGGAGAAGCACTTTCCAGCTGCGGCTCGGCTCCAAGGTAAGTCCACGTCGCTCTGATTCACTGCAAAAAAATTGAGTTCAACCGAGAGAGAGAGAGAGAGAGAGAGCCTCACCCTCATCCTTGCTCCCACTCTCCGCCTAGGTACGCCGCGCGGGGATGTACACAAAATGGGTCTAAAGTCATAAACTTTTTCCCCCATTTGCAGCTGATGCCAACACGTTTTGGCTGCTTTTGCTGTTGCTCAGTGATTTTTTGCTGTGCCTGTTACTATGCCACGCTTTACTGGTCTTTTGTTTCCTTCGTTTCGTCTCTATGACTAACGAGGGAAATATTTGGTTAAGTAAAATATATACCAGTAACAGTACACCAGAGAGTGCTGGCTGCAAAAACAATGGAAAATTGTTGAAAAACGTACTCTAAAAGTTGTTTCCGAAAAAAGTCTGAGAACTGCAGAGGCAGAAACTGCTGAAATTCTTTGGGAAAACAAAGAGGAAAAGGCGACTGAAAGCTGCAACGATACTGGGATAATTGGAGAGAGCAGAATGTGAGGAAATGTCTGAAAGTCTTTAAGTTTCCTCAAACATTTTTGATATACATCATTTAAATCCATTTTCAATGTATCTTCCAGCTGCCAATCAATTGGACTTGTGCTCGCGTGTTTTGCCATAAATCCAACAAGATTGTTAACCCAGCAGCAGCGGCACATCAATCATGAGCAGCAGCAATAATTTTAAATGCCAAGTCAGTCAGGGATTGTGAGCTCGTGGATCGAGGCGTCACACGCCAATCAAAAGCAGAAAGCAAAAGCAAACATAAAGCAGAATGGCAGGCAGGCAGATCGTTGAGCTCGGCTCTCGTGTCGTTTAAGTATAAATAAAATATAAGCCGCAGCCGCAGACCCCACAAAATATCATTTCTCAACTTTTGGCTAACAATTTTTGCTTGCATATTTTGGAGGCGCCTCCATTGCGAGGCTCCGTTGCAAGTGTATGTGTGCGTGTGTGTGTGTGTGTGTGATTTCTTAATTTGTTAGAGGAAAAACTTTAACCTACTTCCTCCCTCCATCCCTCCCTGCCCTGCCTTATATCATTCCCTTTTCTTTCTCTCTGGGTTAAAGTGGGAAACTTTCCTTTGGCTTTTGCCCTTCCCTTTTCCTTTTTGCCTGCTTTGTGAGGCAAACATTTTGTACGTGACTTTTGTGGAAAATGATGGATCAGTGTAGCTGATTGGGGGTGGGGGAGTGAGTGCTGGAGAAAAGTGAAACTTGTTCCTGGCTTCTAATTAATGTCAGTGGCAGCAGCAGCCTGCCCTTAGGAGCTTCACAATTTGGCGCAGCGTGGCAGCAATCCAAAATATTGCGTATACGCACTGCGTGCAGCTGTTGCAGCAGCACGAGAAATGTAGTAGGCCCTGCCCTCAACCCAAAAGAGAGAGCGAGAGAGAGAGAGAGCGCAACGATGACCGAAAATTTAAATAAAGCAAAACTGCGTTGTGCCGGCAAAATGGCAGAAACTACAATTACTACAACTACTACGCACACACACACAGAGCAGGGTGGGGGAGGGGGTATATGTATCCATGTGTCTGTGTGTGCGCTGGTCACTTCCGCTGTAAAACGCATGAAATACGAGAGATTTTTACTACACATCAGCAACAGACATCAACATGCGACACACGCCACCTACGTACAAGTGTGGGTGTGTGTGTGTGTTGTGTGTTGTGTGTTGTGTGTGTGGGTCTGCGGCAATCAATAAATTTTGTGTGTGCAGCAGCCACAACAGCAGCAACAACTATGGCTGCTGCTGCTGCAGCTGCACTATAAGCCACATATAGTAGTAGTGGCCGTGGCATGAGTATTTCGTATTTCGTATTCGTTTTCGTGTATTCCTGTGTGTATCTGCATGTGTGGCCGCACGAGTATATTTGCCGGCACAGACAGATTTATGGTTTGTCATGGCGGCAGGCAGGCAGCAGGCATCGTTGGCCAAAAATAGTTGCAGCCTCGCTCGCTCTCTCTCTCTCTCAGGGGGATAACTGCAGTTTCGTTCATAAAATCAATAGGCCTCTCCGCCTCACACTCTCTTTCTCTTTGTCTCTACCTCACTGCTGCTGCTGCTGCTGCATTAGCCGGCCGGTCTTCAGCAAGGTGTACACACACACACACACCCCACACACCCCACACACACACACATTTATGAGTACACGAACTTTGCTGCTGCTCAAGCTGCTCTTCGCTGCTAATTGCCTGCATAAAGGACACACAAAAGAAATGTATAAATAAATGCCATTGGCCCCCTGCCCCTCCCCCCACCGAACAATACAGGCGGGGCGGGAGGTTTGGAAAAAATGTCAAACAATTAAGCGGCAATTAGCAGCAAAGGTTGAGAGAGTGTCGCCAGCAGGCAGGATGTCCACGTCCACGTCCTCGTCCTGTCAGGCTGCTACGTGAATGCGTTGCTAAATGTATCTTCAGCTGAAGCTGCTGCTAAAAAGGGGTTGGCCATGCCCTCAATTTGGGGTTGGGCATGAAAGCTGAGAGGCACTTAAGAAAGCGGATCCCCATCTAGCCGGGGACATGTACGAGCTGCTGCTGCTGCTGCTGCTGCTGCATATGCCTTATTGATGAGACAGCGAGGCCAAAGCCAAAGGCAAAGGCCATATGGCACTTTGCTGGCTCAAAGAACAATATTTTAAGTGCATTTTGGGGGGAAGATCTTTAGGAACAGGTTAGGAAAAGGTTTAGTCAACTTCCGCTGGGATATTCATGCTAATCTAAACAGCAAATTTAATTCAAAATAAATAAATAAACTCAAGCAACTCCCACTCCTCCTTCTGCTGCAACAAACTACTTCCGCCCAAAACCAATTTCAAACCTGTAAACACTCCCAAAAAAAAAAAATATACCCGTTCCACTCCCAAAAAACACTTCACTTTATTACAAGTGTCTCGAGGCCACTATCTGCTCAACTAAAAAAAATTTGCATGCAATTTGCTCGGCACTCGCACGCCGGCACTTTTACCGTTTTATGTGTACAACAAAAACAACAAAAATATGCACGGGAAGCGCTAGAGAAGAAACCTTAAAAACAAAGTTCTTGTTGTTGTTGTTGTTGTTGTTTTGTCATGATTTTAGCACGTTGTTGCAATTCAATTTATTTTCAATTTGCGCGCATGCAACGAGCAGGAAAGTACCTCCAAAATGGGATGAGTACGAGTCACGGCACCTTTCATTAGGGACAACACAACATTATCAGTGTTAAAATTGCTTATAGCCTTGTTGCACACTTGGCGGAATTTCACGGAGCCGGCAAACGGCACACGGCACACTCAACACACACACGCACAAATATCCATGGATATATAACAGAAATATATCTATGTACAAGTACTGTTATTTATGCGGCACACGCACGTTCTTTGCCGCTAACTTCTCTTGTTGCTATTGCACTTTCGCCGCCTTTGCATGCTCTTTCGTACACAACGCGAACGAACTGCAAGCCCAAAAAAGACAGAGACAACAACAATACTGCGACGGCGCGCTCTCTTTGCGTTGCTATTGATAACGGTTCTTTTGGTCTTTGCTCTCTGTCACACTGCCGCTCTTTAAAGTCTCTCTCTCTCTCTCTCTCTGTCACTCTCCTGCTCTTTCTCTCTCTTTGTGTCTGTCTGGCTGGCACACTTACAATTACACTTCTCGGCAAAAAGGAAGAAGAGGGAGAGCGAGAACAACCGACAACGAGGAACGTCGAACAGCAACTGAGTTCTGATTGCGCTGTCCTCCAGCATTTGTGCATGTTCGTTCACGTTTCGCTGGCAACATGGATACCAATGCCATCCATCCTGCATCCTGGTGGATGCTGTGCCTCACTGCGCAGAAGCGTCGTGCGATGGCAACAGGAACGTAGTAAAATGTATAGTAAATTGGATTCCATTCGCATTTCATTCACGGCACCACCCAACGGCCCACCCACTTGCGTTGAGTAAGCCACTGATCGGCGTTGCAAGGTGCAATTATTTTGGGGTGGGGCAATGCTAATATTCCAATATAAATGAAATACGAGCGCAATGCCTGCTGCTTTTCCTTATTTAATGATTTTTTTGCAGTATATACAGAAAAATTGGCAGATGCACGTTACACAACACTGCATGAGCCGAACGCTTTACAGAACTACACGTCAATTGTGAATTTGTGAATTTGTTATTGAGTTTATCAGTGCGCTTTCTCGCTTAATTATGACTGAAAATAAAACAGTAAGCGAACACATGACTCTGCAGATGCTTGCCCAAACTGTCTAACAATTTGCTGATAATTCCAGAAGCTAGATCCAAAGAAAATCTTTGAAGATCTCTCGACTTTCGTGGAGAACCTGCAGACCGGCAGTGGCCGGCTTGAGGAATTTATGCGAGATGCGGAAATGATAGGCGACGCCATCACGGCTCAGATGCAGGCAGACGGTCACGTTTTCAAGGATTATCTCGGCGAACTGCCGAGTACGGGTATGTAGTGCTCGCTCCTCCCTCCTCCTTCCACGTGTTCGTATCGCCCCACTAATGTGCGCCCCCGAACTGCAGCTTCCTGTGTGGACGAAATATCCCTGCTGCTGCCAGTGCACTTTGAGGTGTTTTTGCCCGTCCGTTTGCCCATTGCACTGGCCCCCAGCTTCGATGAGAAGCAACGCACTGTGCAGCTGCGTCATCCCGACATGCTCCATCCATTCTTCTTTGGCAACATGCTGAACGCCAGGTGTATGAACTTTGTGCTGAAGCAGGAGCTGCAGCAGACCATCGCCAGCATTGGCCGCATGAGATCCTACGACCTGAGCTACAGGGCGAACCACAGCCGCCACGTGCCCTTCATGCACCAGATATTGGCCGTGGACCGTCGCAGCAATGGGCGGCGATGCATTCGCTTTGACTTTGTGCTCGCTTTGCTGTTCGAGGGGCCGGTGCTGCCCCTGCCGCCGTACTACGATGCGCCCATCAACTACACGTGGCTCGCCTACGGCAAGATCGAAGTCGGTCGCAACAGGCACCCAGCCGATTGGGGCGTCGTAGTGCCCAAGTGGCAGACAAGGTCAGACCTAGATGCGAAGCGCCTGAATGGCGTGCTGCTCCTCACGCATCGCCTGCTGAGCACCCAGCAGTGCCAAAACTATGCCGCTCCTGGCCCCCTGAAGCTGGGCCTTGCCACAGCCGTCCAAGAAATCAAAGGCTTGGGATACGAACTCACGCCCACTCCAGTGTTGGTTATGTTGGTAAGCCTATAGCCACATAGCCCCTACCCTCTTGATAATTATAATCATTTCGCGAGTAGACTATGAAAAAATTGATGCAAAAGGACGTGGATGGCGCGACCACCAACGTGAAGCAGCTAATGAGCATCGTGAGGCTCATCGAGCAACTGTACAACGGAGGACAGGATGAGGCGCACGGTGAAGCTGGCAAGGCGTGCAACATGCAACATCTATGCAGCACTCCGGAAGCAAACTACTAACGTGCCACGCAGCCTCGACGCAATTGAGCAGAAGAAAGTGGAGAGTAGGAGAGTGTCTCCTTTGAGGGCTTCGCTTGTTCATTTTTAAGTTGTTTGCCTGTGAAATTTGAGTTGAAACGTTCAAGTTGGCCAACGTAAATGTAAATCCTTTCTGGCTGTTGCCTGTCACAGGCTTAGTGTCAAATCTCAGTAATTGTGCAGCACACAGCAAAGGGACAAACCCTGAGACAAAAGTTAATAAAGGCCAACAAAAAACTAAAGCTCTACGTGCCAGTCTGTTTTTTTTGCCACAACCTGTGTGTGTGTGTGGGGGGGAAAAAGTTAAATTGCAAATAGCTTCGGCTGGCAAAAGGGTGCAGCGTGGCGGAGCGGGAGACATGAAATTTTAGAAAAATGTTCTGCTGTTATTGTTTTGGGCCAAAAGGGGTAAAAAGGCGTCAACAGACAGGCCACGGCACATAGGGTACGTGGGGTACATGGGAGTTGTTGCATTAAACAGAAAAACCCAACAAAAAGTTGGACATTTCATTGTTGTCAACTTTTAACTAGTTTTTTATGCTGTCATTATTTTAAAATGCAAATCGCCTACAACTCGGAGGGTAACTCCAGCGCACAATTTGCAGTTATGCCTCAGGCACATAGCCCCATCTGTGTATACATAATGTCTGTATATCAGATCTGATTTTGATACCGTTTTGGCTTTAATTGCATTCGAGTGTGTGACATTTTGTCACATGTTGTCGATGCATGGAAACGATGAGTTAATTCTGTTAATTTGCCAACTGGTTCTCCACGATTCGTTATTTTAATTGCATTCCCACAGCTCGGCCAACAGGCAATCGTCTCTGCTGAAGTGCATTTCTCCTCACAGCTTAAAGTTGTGCTGAAATAAATGCCAATAAATCAACTGGAGACGGAGATGAAAATTCATCCACAGCAATATGAAATCATAAAGCAGTGAAAGCTCATAAAATGGAGCAGCATTGAGGGGCGTACTCCACTCTAAGCTTGAATTAAAAGCAAAGGTCCGATGGGGTTCTGGCTATGTTTTTCCTACGAGCAGCAGCAGCAGCCATCACTTAATATTCTTAATAATAATTTTAAAGTTTGCTCGCATCTAAAATGAAATTCAGCAGAATTTTCTGGCCAGGCGTCGAGCAGTGGCTGGAATCTTTAATCAAAAAATAATTATGAGCGACAGGGGAGCGAAAGAGACAGTCGTAGAGTGTGAACAAGAGGGATAGATGGTGTCCTGGCAAGCGGCAAAATTACATTTGAATTATGACAAAAGTGGGCGTTGGGCGGGGCGGGGCGGGCAACGGAAGCTGACAACGGAGCCAAACGAAAAGCGCTAGTGAAATTGGAGTGGCGGCATGGAGAAGATATCAAGGAACAAATAAAGAGCGCCAAGAACTGCCGCAATTTACGCAACAAACAGAGCGCTGCAAATTGGACAGCCAGGCAGGGTGGTGGGGGCAGGGACCAACGCAGGACCTCAAGCCGTGGCCGGGCACCGAAAAAGTTTATGTGAAAAACCAGACAATTAATTTGTTGAGCAGCGCCAAAGGGACAGCAGTCGAGGTTGGAGTACTACCCAGTACCATGCCGATGCCGTATCGCAGGGACAAACAATTTCGTGCTTGTTGGCAAAGAAAATTTACGTGCCAAAGACAATTGGGAGACGACACACACACACACACACACAGAGAGCCAGCAAGGACAGATGCCGAGTCCATGAATGAAATGGTTAAGCATTTTACGCTCTTTGTTTAATTAAAATTGCAACAGGCTACACGAGCAGCAACAGGAAAACATAGAAGGAACTCCGCAAAGTCAGCGTTTTTCAATTAAGCTTGCATTTCATTTAATAAAGAAAAAGGCAAAAAGAAAGCGAAAGAGCCAACAACATTAGTGCTAGTCTCTGGCGGATATTTGCACTCTCTATCTCTGCATTCCTTTTGTGTGTGTGTTTAGTCCGGTTATCCCTTATTTGTTTTGTTCCCTTTGACATTCCACGGCCCGAGTACTGTGCTGGCAAGAGAGAGAGAGGAAACTTTTATTGCTGCTATTAAATTGCACTTCAAGTGGGGAAAAACTACTTGCCTTGGATTATTACCTGTTCCAACTGCTCGAACGAGTACGTGTTGGCATATTCATTCAGCTATCAGGAGGCATTCTGACTGAAATGGATATCCTCGCAGTGTGTCACGTTCCGGCCATTTGGCTGCTGCCACTTCATAACTCAATAAAACAATAAAAACCCACCCAAAATCCCCACAAATCGTGCGAGTGCTAGGATATGTCCCTAGCATATTATCATAAATTGCTTACAATTTGCCATGGGGCTACATTAGGACACCAAGGATAAGCGTGCGTGAATTAGGTGCCTTTGTATTTTATTTGTACTGGGCTGTATCTTGTGGACTTTCTTTGCGTTGTGCAGACATGTGTGTGGCTCCGAGGCGATCGTAGATGCACATTTCCAGCAGCCAATGAACTGTGCATTTACGACAACGCTCTCGAAAAGTTCCTTCAAATTATCTGCCATGTTCTTTGGATTATTTGGTAGTTGTGTGTGTGTGTGTGCGTGTGTGTGTGTGCGTGTGTGTGTGTGTGTGGCAGGCATTTACAATTTGTAAATGGTTTTGACATTGGGTCCAGTCTGTACCATGGCATCCTTGTGCAACTGATACTGTATGCCCACGGTGTTCAGGCCCAGCATGCTCTTCAGCTGCATGCCCAGCGACATCACAGTGGCAGTGTTGTTGGCGCTCTTGGTCCAGAGAGCTGCAGGGGAAAAGCACTCAGCACATGGTGGATATATTTGGATGGTGCTCCCTGCATTACTCACACAACTTATTGGCTTTATGGCGCACATTGATGACAATGCCGCTGATCTCATCCGAATGTAGAAAGCACTCGCCAATGCACAATAAAATCTGCAGCGCAAAAAACAGATCATCAGTGGTTGCATTTTCGATGCCAAAACACTCACCAAATCGTGCCACAATTTGTCACTCATGGCCTTCATGCTCTTGTCCAGCATGATCATCCAGCGGCCGCCATTCTTGTTAACATCATCCTCCCACATGGGACTGCCAAAAAGGTATTGGACTGATGTAAAACAAAAAAAAACACCGACAGCTGCGTGTAAAAACTTACAGCACTCCCTGCTTGAATACCATATAATCGTTGAAGACGCGCAGATCCGATGGTGGCTTGATAAAATAATACACACTGACAAGCCACAGGCAGACACAGGTCAGAGAATGTTCTAGCAAGGAAATGAAAGAAGAATGAAAGAAAAACTCACCTAAAGAAGTCCTCAACTGTGTTGAAGCTTGTCACTTCGTTGAGCATATCGCTCCAGGCCTTGGTGCGATCATTCTCCCAGTGCCACACCGTCCAGACATGCTCCAGCGGATGCTTCAGCAGCAAATCCTCGTCCAGCAGGTTGCGCACCACGCTGAACTTGTGCTTCAACTGCAGCTGCTGCTCCAGCTCCAGCTGTTGCTCCTGCTCCTGCTCCAGCTCCAGCTCCAGCTGGTGCTCCTGCTCTTCGACCATGAAATTGACGGGTCCCATCATGGGCATGGTCATGCCCAGAGCATAGTTTTCATAGCCAGTATACACCATTTTGCTTTGCTTTTCTTTAACTTTTTTTAAATTATTTTCAAGGGATAATTCTAAGCACTTTTTCGAATTGTGTGTTGTCCCGTCAGCTGTTTAGTTACTAATGATGAAACTGACTGAAAATCGGTGCAAATAGCATGAACTCCCCGCCTACTTTTGTTTTACTTTTTTTACGACGCCGCAAGTATCGATAGTCGTAGTCGATAAGTAAGTGCTTGGCGCAGGTTTCGAGTACTCGATTCCCAGTGCTGCCATATCTGAGATCAAACGTAGTGTGACCATGTCAGCCTGTAAAGTTTAAATCAAATTTAGCGTGCAGCCACAGCCTCAGGAGTCTATCAATTGAAATGTCACGCTAATAAAATAAAATGCCACCGAACAAACGATAAATGCACGAAAATAATAAAATGTGACTCAAATGAGCGACACCAGCAGTCGGCAGCAGACAGCGGGGAAGGGCAAAACCCAGACCCAGACATGGGACCCTTTGCCTTGGCTTGCCTTGGCTGGCGTCTGCCCCCAGCACTTGTGCAACAGTTTGGCCTCCAGTCAATAATCGAAATCGACTCGGGCTTGTGGCAATAAAAATTTGTCTTCGCCGCTTAAGTTCTGCGCCTTGTTGCACACAGCACTCGCATCCGAGGCAGCACAGCCATCCTCTACTCTGCTCTGCTCTCCCGCACCTCCCGCTGTGTGCCAGTGCAGATAATAAAATATGTGAGTCGCTACGTGGCAGCTTCACTGGTGCTCTGGTAAAGTAGCTATGGGGCCCCCTGTAATGTGCACCATTTGTTGCTGGAGCATGGCGGTGGCCCAGAAGCCGCTGTGGCTTTTGGTTGCTTCCAGGAGTCGTGGCCGTCCTGCTGCTGCTGCTGCTGCTGCTGCTGCTAGAGCTACTGCCTGTCCCTGCTGCTCGGCTGAGTTATGTTGGCCAAGTTTTTGGGGGTACAAAAGTGTTGGCAATGTTCCTAGTTCTGGTTTGCTCGGGTCTAATATATCTCCTGGGTGCGGCACAAATAAGTTGCCTGCTTCCATTTACTTAAAAATTCTATTTATTTTCGGTCTTAAGCAGTCCTCCTTCGGGGATTCGTATGCATTTTTAGGCAACTCCAAGTGAAGATATTTTCAGTTGATTACGATAATAAATTCAGGAGCCTCAGTGGCAAATTGAAATGACTCTAGGATTGCTGCATGGGCCGCATGCCTCGGCTCACACACTTGTTTCTGGCAGTAGTTTTCGTAACCCCTCTTCCACTCCTTCGAAGCTTAGTTATGCTTTGTTGAATCTGACTTTGTGCAACGCTTCTCAGGTGGCACTTTGGCGAATACGCAATATTTTACAGCTTTTTGCACTTTGCTGGCTGAGCTGAAAATACATGGTCAGTAAATCTTTTAAAATATTGTAATGTGCCTCTACCGTGTAGTGGTAGCTCCAAGGGGGAAAGCAGCTCTAGCTCTTCCTCTGTGTTCCAGCTTAAGCGCTTTGAGTGCCGTAGAGCAGTAAAAACGCCCACGGACTTGAGTAGTGGAGGAGTAGGAAAAGCGCGTAAGTAGAGCAGGAAGCCGGAACGAAGTCCGCCCCACAGCGTCTTGAAGACTTGAAGGCAGCAGCAGCTAAAGCACAAGGAGTAGAAGCAGCTCAGTGCAGACAAGCGCATGCAAGAAATGAAAATGATTTGGGGCATTATGTTTGCCTCCTCGGGACTCCGTTTCCCCCTCGTCGCTTCAGCTTTGTTTTCCGGCTCAGGCTTTGGGTTCTGTGCTGTCTCTCTTTTTTTGCCTTTTTTTGGCTACAAAATTGCTTTGCTTCTCCTTCATGTTGATTGTAAAAGATTTCAGCGTTGAAAGCACAAAGCATGCGATGATGTACGAGACGACGCACGTCGTACATTTTGCACCTTGAAGTGGCAAGCAGGGGCAGACAGCCACATAAAACAATAAAAAGCAATGGTAAATGGCAAGGAGCCGCACAGCCACAGAGGGACGACGACAACACATCCTGCAGCACCTTGAGGCCAACCCAACTGACAAAAGCTTCCTCTCTTCCTCACCTTGCTTGGATTTGTTTTGCGCCCTCCATCTCATCTCCAGCGTATCTGGGCAAAAACTTCGAGAAGTACAAGGCAAAGGTATGTACGTACGTGTATGTATATTGTGCTAAATGCTTCGGACCAGGACGGCAGCCTCTGGGCGATGGCAGGCAAAGCCTTAACCGTAACCATAGCAGGGGCCGACGCCGGGGCCAGGTGAAAGTCATTTCACGCTGGGTGTAGCGCAAAAGATTAAAATAATAGCAGCGCGTAAATTAAACAGCCCGTTGGAGCTTGGAGTAGGTGGCTCAGAGTGGGCCGGCCAGACGGGCGTCAGAGTCATTGAAGTGGCAACCATCGAGAAGCAGGACCTCGCCCGTTCATATCCTTTTGTTTGGCTCTGCGGTCTGCGCTAAGATGCTTACCAGGTGTACGCCTCGGCTGTCGTGTGCCCGCCATGGACGTTCTGTTGGGTTGGGCTGTGCAGGGGGGGTGGTGAAGAGATGCCTGACAGCATCAACCGCATTGCGTTGTCAGCACTTCATTTTGATCCTCCAGCATGCCGCGTGCTTCACTTAATGCGACGACAGCCAGCGCGGTAAAGGGGGGGCTGGAATGGTACTGGCATGGCATACCAACGAGGTATAGTACAGAGAGAGAGAGAGAGAAAGAGGGGAGATTGCTGGCTTCTTCATCATGCCCATAACTACAAAGGCGGCTCGGCTGCATTTCTTTGGTGAGCAAAAGAAAATAGCTTGACAAAGGCGACAAAGATAACGAAAATGATTTCGTAGGACTATAATTAACTTTAGTCCAAGCAAATCACTCTTAAGTAATCGAAATACATATGTACGTTTTATGGCACATTTCTGTGCCAAACTGACATCGAACTTGACACTTTTGTCGCCTGGCTGCAGCTGTGCATTACACGTCACGTCAGCATGCGTATTATACTCTTTGTCTCTACCCGCTGCTCCGTCGGTTGGTTAAACTCCCCCTCTCTTTATGCTGCTGCTAGGCAGGTAGGTGGGAATGAGCATGCACACTGCAAAGTTGCGGTGCGGGTGGGAGTGTGAGTGCAATGGCGATGCTTCGTTGGGCTGTTCTGCTGCCTTAACGCTGCTGAGTGTTTGCGGCTTCTTGTCTCCTATCCTCCTTCCCCTTTCCCCTCGCTCAACATGCAGCGCTGAGCTTCTGCGTCAAGCTTGTCTTGCCCCGCTCTCCTCTCGTTGTGTGCTTTATGCTTGCCAGTTTCTCGGTTCTTTGTTGCTGTTGCGTTTCGCCAGGTACGGTACTCTGCTTTTGTTCGATGAAACGTAAAAATAGCAACAAGCAAACGAAAACTCATTTCTAGACAATGCCGCATAATTCCAATGGTTACCAGAGGATAAAGTAGAATATGATGAGGGAGAACCCAGTGTCTTTTTGTTGTGTCTTCTCTGCTTCTCCTGCTCCCTCTCTCTCTCTCTCTCGCTACCTGCTGCTCACATTTCGTTGCGTCTACTGTACAAAAGCAACCGCAAGAAGTTTCCTTACGCGCCGTCAGTTTTTGTAATGAAAGTGGATGCTGCCTATGGCTTTCTCTACTCCCCCCCCACCCCTTCCCTCTCGAAACCCACATTACCCACACGATTATTCAAGCGCAAAATGTACCGTAATCTCTGCCAGCATATGCAGAAACTTTTCACACAGGCGAGCGGAGCAGCGGACAGAGCGTGCCCTCGGGCTACACGCACTCCTTAAACTTTTAACCCTTCTATGTTTGCTCTTACATACACGAAAACATGCACACACACACACACACACACACATACACTCGTACATACTTTAACTTTGGACCGGAAGGAAGGAAGCCTGTTGCTGGCTTCGGTTGTTGTTGCTTTTCTTTGCCGGTCATTTACGCCCATTTAGCCGCATTTAACAAAGTCAACAATAAAGTCAAACAGTACTCGCTGCCTGCCTGCTGCCTGCTGCCAGCCTCCTGACTTCTGACTTCTGAGTTCTGACTTTTCATCGCCCTTTTGGGCTAGCTTTTCGAGGGGGGAAAGAGCTTTTACCGAAAAACAATAATTGGCAAAGTTTTTACTTTAAACATTGGGTTTAAGCAGGGAGGAATATCCTTACACATGTATCATCAAACAAGACCCTATGGACAAGGAGGGAAATTCAACACTTTTGTATACTTATTTGGAGAATTCCCACCCACAAATTGTGTTGCTGTAAACGAATTGAATTTCGACTTCATTTCCACTCCAAAAACAACTTAAATCTTGAAAGTCTGCAAATAACTTCACCAAAGTGTTCCCGACCAGAGTTCTCAGCTGTCATTAAATATTGATTAAGGCCACCCCGCCCGCCCTTGCCCCTCTTCCCTCTTAGTCAAATATCATCAAAATCATCATCATCGTCATCTGTGCCTTGGCTGTGTTGGCGCATTCTGGGTTTCAGGCTTCATTAACGCCAGAAACAGTCGACAGCCGAGTCGACTCACAAATTGTGCCAGCATCAGGTGTCAAGATTAATTTACTGCCGCCTAAGTTTCAGACTCAGGAGCCCAAGGAACCTCGTCACCGATGGGTGGAATGGGTGGAATGTTAACCCATATTTTGGTGGCTTGCGGCTGCTGCGGTAATTTCGCTGGCAGCAAATGGAAGCATCCTTCAACCATCTATGGCTGAAGCAACCCTCCATGATAGCTGAAGCAAATCCTCATTGATATGCAGGCCTCGGCATCGGCATTGGCTCGACGTGTAGCAATAATTGAACGGCTTAGCCACGAAAAAAAACGCTCGCTAATGGAGCACTTTAAATATGCGCGTCCCAATGCCACTTGCATGCTAATCCGCAGTCCCAGATAATGCCAAAATGCCATTGATTCTTAAACGTTTACTTCACAAAACAAAATCACAAGGTGCAGAATGGAAAATGAGTGCCAAAACCATGAGAAGTACGATCATGGTGCACCATTTCGGGTGTTCGGGGGATTGCGGAATTACTTCTTCAGCAGCAGCGGGGCGGCGGCATATGGACGGGCCACATAGGGCGAGCTGTAGGCCAAGGGAGAGGTGTAGGCAGCGGCATAGGGCGAGGCGAACGGTGCAGTGTAGGCAGCGGCGTAGGGCGAGGCCAGACGTGCCACTGGAGCGGTGTAGGCAGCGGCAAACGGAGCGGCAACAGGCGCGGTGTAAGCGGCAGCAATGGGAGCGGTGTAGGCAGCCGGGAAGGCAGCGCTATGTGCCACCGAGTGGGCAGTGTAGCTGGAGGCATAAGGTGCCACATAGGCGGCGCTGCCCACCACAGCTGGAGCGGTGTAGGCCAGAGGAGCGGCAGCCAGCAGACCAGGCTTGGCCGAAGCCACAGCCAAAGCAGCGAAGAAGCAGACAGCAGCCTGCAAAAGAATGAAGGATCAGATCGGTTTTCCCCATAGCTAGATCCTCTGGCTACTTACGAGTTTGAACATTTTGATTGTTGTTTGGGTTTTTTGTTGGTTTGTGTCTTGCTGGATGAGCTGTGGCGGTTTGATGTCCAATCGAGAGCCCCTCGACGCTTTTATAGCCACTTACACTTTTCGGAGCGACTCTTTCGGCTGACACTCATTTGCCATGCAGATCACGCCGCAAAGAGCTGAGCAAGTCAACGACTGACGGACACATTGACGTTGCGCATGCGCAATTCTTGGCTAGATTTGAGTGGTTTGTAGATTTCGTGTTGGCTGGTCAGACCATTGGCCAGGCCATGTCGAGTGCGTGCCTGTTCGACTGTGGTACCGATCTGTGGCCCTGACCTTGGCTGCAGGTCCGAAACGGTAGCCAGTCGCACATTTATGATTACTTCTTGAATTTCAGACAGTGGGAGCAGATTCCGCTTCATTTGAGCCTAGATTAAGCCGCAGATTAGGCCGCAGCCAAACACAGTCTGGCAAAAATTAATTAATAAATGTCACAAATTGTTGGGGAATTGTTGGAGCGCGTGTGGCATCCATGTCAGAGCTTAAAACTCCACTAATTAGAAATATCGAGTGGGGAAAAAGCATGAAGGAGTGGTGTACATATCACACACACACACACACACACACATCCTCATGGAACACCCACACTGGCAGACTCACACTTGAAAAAGTGTTGAAGCGTGAATTTTGCTTAAAAATGCCAATTAGGCGAAATTCTGAACTGCATTGGATTGGGGCAGGACTGGGGACATGGCAGGGAGACATAGGGGCAAGGGTGCAGCACGGCAAGGAGCAATAAGGGATGAAGGAAGGCAGGGAAGTAGAAACTCTGCCAGTGGGCAGGGGCTGCAGCTCTGTCGCAGCGCTTGTTCTTGTGTGGATTTTGTGGCAACTGTTGGCTGGCTGCAAATTTGCCAGTTGCCAGTTGCCAGTTCTGTTTTCGACTGCTGCTTGAAGTATTCCCCGCCACACACCGCAGCCTCAGCATCTCCTGTGACACTCGCTCGAGTGTTTGCCGTTTGCCGTTTGTCCCCAGCCCATCTCCACTCCTCATCCCTGTCTGAGAGGGCGTGTCTGAGCGGTCTACTAAATGCACAATCATGCCGCAGGTTGCCACAGAGCAGCAACAAATTGAAATCTTGCAACCAGCAACATATTTGTTTTGACACTTGACTTGGGGCAGCATGATGTGGCAGCAGTTGGAGTTGCTTTTCATTGTCAAGTTTGTGTCGAGGACTTTGCGACTAGAAATTATTATATTGGTTAATCCGCCTAAAAGCTTTGTGCCACTCCGCTGTGGCACAACTCTCGAGTGGCACAAAGCAGCAGCAGCATATCAAAGGGTAGCACTTCGCCCCGCCAATCCCTGGGGCAGCAGCAGGCCCAAATGGTTTCATGAGTGGCAAAGTGAGCAAGTAATTAAAAAGCAAGAAAATTCTACACACAAAAAAAAGAGAGAAAGAGAAAAGAGACTCCTAGAGCGCTGAAGAAATATTTCACATAAAATGATGGAGCCGCTGGTACTCATTAAAAGCAATTTAAAGAAATACAAAAAAAAAAAAATTATGTATGGAAAATTTGTATGAATTTTGGTTTAAGCTCATAAAAAATTCTCTCCATTGTTTGGCACCCACTTATATGCCCTTTATTGTAGGGTATTCAGCGCAGAACTTTCTGAACAAGTTCCGCGAAATATTCGCGCCACTTTTGCTCTTTTACAGACCCAGACCCGGACTCGGACCCGCGGCCCTGCCCCAAGTTCAGTTTATTGCCAACATAAAGGCCCAACTGCCGCCAACTTGGGGAGGCGGCAGCTATGGTAGGCGTGGCAGCAGCAGCAGCTGTGCGTGCGCGTTAATGCGTCGTTTAAGTGCCGTAAAAAGTGAACGGCACACATGACAACCCAACCCCACACACAACCCCCATCAACATGAACAGCCAGAGGAAGTCTATTAAAGAAATTTCGTTTTGAATTTGTCACTTTGAGCAGGGACACGGGGACACAGGAGGCCTGCCTTTAAGTGCTTGCCACAAATTATTCATGCTGACTGCTGACTGCCGACTGCTGACTGCTGATGAGGGTAGCAGGCGGGCAGGAGCCTCCCTTTGAACAATGAACTAGTTCCCGCGCCAAGATCCTGAATAATTGAAGCTGCAACAGAGCACGGGATAAGCTAACGCCATGATCATAATTGGTTTACGGCCTTTGTTCCGCCTCCGTGGCACAACGCATTTCAATTGGCAGCGACCCCAAAGTCAAATCAAATTACGCCCCAGCACGTGCCACGAGTGCGTGGCCAACAATGCTTTGCTTTGGCCACAAAAAACTGGAACAGCGTCCAGCGATGTTCGCTGCATTTGTAAGCGCGGCCTTCGATGGTCCAGCGTCACGGCATGGCACGGCACGGCCTCCCCCTCGTTCGATGTGTCAGACTGTGTATAAAAACTGCACAGCGCCAGCAATCCAACATCAAACAGAGCTCACAGCTTTAAGCCAACACAGCCAACAAACCCACAAGAAAACAATCCAAAAACCATCAACATGAAATACGTAAGTAGCTGAGGGATTTCCCAGCCCAAGGATTACTCTTGCTCATCTTTCTTTGACTCCTTTCAGTTCGCTATTTGCTTCTTCGCTCTGGTGGCTGTGGCTTCGGCCAAGCCTGGCCTGCTGGCTGCCGCTCCTCTGGCCTACACCGCTCCAGCTGTGGTGGGCAGCGCTGCCTATGTGGCACCTTATGCCTCCAGCTACACTGCCCACTCGGTGGCACATAGCGCTGCCTTCCCGGCTGCCTACACCGCTCCCATTGCTGCCGCTTACACCGCGCCTGTTGCCGCTCCGTTTGCCGCTGCCTACACCGCTCCAGTGGCACGTCTGGCCTCGCCCTACGCCGCTGCCTACACTGCACCGTTCGCCTCGCCCTATGCCGCTGCCTACACCTCTCCCTTGGCCTACAGCTCGCCCCTGGCCGCTCCAGTGGCGGCTGCCTACAGCGCTCCCCTGCTGCTGAAGAAGTAAATCCGACCAAATCTCTGACCAATTTGTGTAAATAAAGAATTTCATACATCAACTCTCTCTCTCTCTATCTTTAAGCGTTTATTCCGAGTACAGAATGAACTCCAGTCCATTCGAGTTGTTTGTGGCGGCAATTTGTGCTCCGCTCTTTGCGCTCTTATCGAGCATCTCATCCACCGCCCCGAAAACTTTTAGCTTGGATTAAACTTTCCATTTAAAAGGATTTCTTTTCTATATGAAATATGCTTCCTTTCGGCATTTCCTGCGCTCGCTCTCCCTGCCCTTTCCTTTTCCTTTCTTTCCGTTCTTCTCTTTCTTTTTTGTTGCACCCTCTGTCAAGTTTTCTGGTTGACTTTGTGCAGCGCGTTGAAAGGCGCTGCCTGGGGGCTGCAGGTGTTGCCCCGCTCCTGCTGCTGCTTATCACAACTTGGGCATCATCTCCTGCCGGATGCTGTGTCCCTGCTGCTGCTGCTGCTGCTGCTGCTGCTGCTGTCTCGCCCTGTCTGCCAAGTAGTTGTAAAGTTTCCTACGCAAGCGGAAAAGGCTAGTAAAATCCAGGTAAAAGCAGCGAAAGGCATTAGGTGCGGAAGGGGAGCGCTCCACAAGTTCTTTGCCATAAGATAGCGTCCAAATTTAATGAACTTTTATTCAATAAAACTGCGTCAAGCACTCCCAAAAGTTGTTGTCATCTGCTGCTCCATTTTGTTGTTGTTGGGAAACATAATGGCAGCAGCAAGGGGAAGGATTGGAGGTAAGAAAAAGAGTTTTTGCTTAATGTAAAAAGTGCCACAAATGCCCAAAGATAACCGAGAATAATGTCCGTAGGTGTGTAACTACATTTATGCCCGCTGCTGTGGCAGACCCATGGCGTAGACGCTGGCGTAGCAATACAAATCTGAGACTCAATGAAATTTGTATTCACTTTATATAATTTTGACGATTTTTCAAATCAAATATACACCAACAGGCACGAGCACACTCTCTTGTGTGTGTGTGTGTGTGTGTGGCAGCTTGTTGTGTCCCGTCTTTTTGTGTGTGTGTGGCAGACGGAGAAAATCATGTGCCAACGTGTTTTTCAAATGGATTACATGAATAAAAGATTTATACACGTAAAAGGTGAATCAGTGGCTGGGCAACCGAGACCGAGGATGGCCACAGGATTGCTTCACTCTCTCCCCCAGCAAGAATATGCGCAGATGTAAGCAAATTTGAGCCACAAGTCGGGGCACCCAACGGACCCCTCAATAGAACAGTGGATGCTCCCCCCGTTTATTGATTTGCTTATCGTCATTTTATGTATTTATGCGGCCGAGTGGTGCCACTTTGATTTTTGCTGCTCCGAGAAAATATCATTAAAGCATCAATACACAGAATAAATTTAATCGAATAAAAGTACACACAAATCTGCAGATTACATTGAATCCTGGGGCATCAGCGCCTCAGATAGGAGTAGTAGGGATACGTGGCGTATGCGCCATATACCGGTGCATACGCATACGACGCGTATGCCGGATAGCCGGCATATGCCGGATAGTAGCTCGCTGGTGCTGTTGCCAGCCAGGCACCTGCCGTTCCTGCCGTTCCTGCCGCTGCATAATTCACTGGCGCTGTGAGCAGCAGCTGAGGCTTTGCATCGCAGCCGAGAGTCGCCAGCAGTGCGAGCTGTGAGGGAATAACCGATTCACATTTAACGATGATATCCAGTTCGGGGAGTCCGGGATGCCGAGGCTTTAACTCACCAGCAATACTTTGAAGAGCATCCTTTGGTGGATTTTGCTTAAGTTATTCCTAAGTAGATTGATTTTGCTTCACTTTTTGCTGCTCCAACTCGATCTTTCTGCTCTTCTTTTTACTTCCCGCTCCTCTCACCGACTTCAACGCTTCAAATTCCAAAAATTAACTGACTCTATGGTCCGAGAATTCAATCATATTTATAGCCTTTGTACAAGGTACAATGCCGGACCCAACAGACTCGCCAGAGCACCAATGAGAAGCACCCAAAGAGAGAGAGGGCGAGAGCGAGGGCTCTGCCCTGTGTGGTGCTCCCCTGCCCATCAGTGATATTGCCGGCGCTGAGCGGCATAAATTATATTCTTGATGCCATTTGAAATTGTTGACAAAGAATAAACACGCGTTGAAGCAAAAAGTTCAATGGGAAAACGAGCAAAAAGAACGCTGATCAAATGGGAAATACCCAGAGTAAAAATTGCAAGCCAAGTGCAGCGCTGCTTTCCCCTTCGCGCAGCCGAGTTAAGCCATGTTTGGCGACACTTCCTGCTGCGTCACAAACACACACCAAAAAGGTACCCCTGATACCCTTTGTTCATTACAGGCAGCCAGCAGCCGTGCATAAAATATTTAGACGTTGTAAAAATGATAATTATGTGTGCGTGCCTGCCATGCACATGAGCCTCAAAAACCATATTTTTTCGATCAATTTCGTTAGATAAGCGGCAGCACTTGATGTCTTGCTTTGGAATGGGAAAGGGAACTTAAAGTCTAGGCCAAGCCCTGGCAGACAGCACACATTTTGCAACTGAGCAAACAATGTGGCGATACAAGGATGAAGGAGCAGCAGCGGCAGCGGCAGCAGCAGGGTGGTACAAGGGGTGCAGGAGGGTAGCGGCTCTTGTTTCGCAAGCTATAAATAATTAATTAATGCAAAAGCAGACAGGCAGACACACAGTGAGTAGCGAAACTCTATGCAAATTGCTCTGAATATAGACCATAAATTTTGTGCCCCAACCAAAAAGCTGATGAAGCCATCATTGATGGCAGAGAGTTATGGCTTTTACAACCATTTATATATATGTACATCTATTGCAAATAACTTGAGTTATTCATGTACTCAACTGAACATAGTTTGCCAGACTTTAAGTTGCTTTTGCCGCTGCAGTTTCCCCAAGCGAAGTTCAGTGACCACAAAACAGCTCCACACTGCCAGTCCCCTGGGGTAGTCCAACCCCCGCTTGACCACGCCCCGTCAACTCTGCTGGCCAGTACTTGGAAAACTGCTTTTAGCGACAGTTTTTGTGTGTGTGTTTATTTCTATTTTAGTGCTAATTTCCAGTTTGCTTACAAAATGGCAAATGCTGCCCCCCACCCAGCTGGCAGCCATTTTTGCTTGTATTTCGCTTTCGCTTTGTTATCAATACCCTTTAGATGTGGTGTGCAAAAGGGGTATATGGGCTGGCAGGTGGCTTGGTTGGTGGGTGCTTAAAAGTGGCAAAAAAGGTAACCGAACTCGAGGCTTGAAATTGGAAATTTGTTGCCTGTGGAAGATGTATTAAATGAGGGAATAAACTGACTGATGCCCAAGAATAATCGCACTATTTTGGAGACTACAGAGACTATTTTAATCAGCAGATTTTAAGGCAAATTGAAGTGAACTTTAAAGGCAAATGTTGCTGTTGAAATTTAGACTTCAAATATAAACAAATCCACCACAGATCGGAGCTGTTCTCACTCGTTTTTATTTGGCAATTCAGACCCTGCCTTGTCTCCAATTGCCTTCCATTTATAGCTCTGCCCTCTGCTCTTCCCACAGGGTATCGCACAGGTCTTATACTCCCCTTACTCAATGCCAGCTTTTAGCTTAGTGTTTTTGCTTTGGTGCAGCGGCATAATTAAAAAAGAGCGCTAAAAAGTACTACACTTTACCGTGTAGATTGTTTCTTTATTTTGTTGCATTGCAAACTTCAACTGCAACCCGCTGCCACCGGTGGTGTTTAAATGAAATTAATTAGTGAGCGGGGCAGCCTGGCGTTATGCCTCGAAAGCTTGTCCTGCCGTCGGACGAGTTTATTCAGACCCTTAACGAGTTTTATGTACTTCTCATCGAGTTTGCCGAGCACCTGCTGCAGCTGCTGGTCTCGTATTCGGCCCAGACACTGCTCCACCCACAGCTCCTTCAGCTTCGCCGTGTGCTCCATCTGCTCTAGCAAGACTGCCTTGCGGTTCTCGAACAGCTCATCCAGCTGCTTGGCTGTCCGCGGCGTGAGCTGTGGCGCACTCTTGGCCGTCACCGACTGTAGATAGAGGCTCCAGACACGCTCCCGTCTGTGTTGCAACTGCTCCTGCAGCCACCTGGTGGCCATCTGCTCCAGCTGCCGGTCCAGTCTGCGCAGTTGCCTGTGTCCCACGCGCACGCCGCACTGGCTGAAGATAGCCGCGAAGAACTTTAGGCTGTGTGGTGCTCCATTCCAGCGCCTGAGACGCTGCATGCCCCGCAGTAGCCCACGTTTCAAACCCTCTGTGGCTGGCAGTCGCTGAGGCTGGAGCTGCGCGTCAGCGGCTGGGATCCGTCTCAAGCGTCCATCTTCGTGGTAGTACTTCAGGCACTGACGACGCAGCTCTTCGTTTCTATCCATGAGGATTTGTAGCTTTTCAGCCACAGAGCCTGTGCTTTCCCCTTGCTCAGTGCCTGCTTGGGGTTGTTGGATCTGCTGCTGATCGTCCAGCGGTTGTCCCTCACGTGGTGTACATTCCGTTGAGGCATCTTTGGAGCGTGCTTCCTTGGCTGACTTGCTCTGAATCTTTCTTGGCACATCCAGTGCAGCCTTAGAGCTGCAGCTTTCTGTTCTTTCCCTTGGCGTGCATTGGGTTGTGGAATCTTTAGACTTCGGTTCCTTGTGGCATTTACTCCGCTGCTCCCTTCGATCATCCAGTGATGGGCTTAAGCTTGATGTGTCTGGTGTCCATTCCGTTGCAGCATCTTTGCACCTTGCTTCCTTGTGGCATTTACTTAGCAGCTGCATCCCATCAGTTGGCATCGATTCGGTTGCAGCATCTTTGGTTCGTGGTTCCGCCTGTCGAAGTCCTGGACTTGGTTCCTCTGCAGTTGTGGCATCTTTGAAGCACTCATCGCAGCTCCCTACATCCATGAATCGCACATGTTTGCCAAGCTTCACAGTCTCAGCGCCTTCTTCTGCCCGTTGGGCTGGCGCTTCCTCCTTGCGCTGACTGTGTACACCCTCTGGCTGGGGTGCCCTTTCAGGTTCGTTTGTAGCCATCTCCGATCGATGGTGCCCAGCCACCTTGAGACGCTCACCTTCCGATGGTTTCTGCTCAACCTGGCTCGGTGCAGACTCAACTCCTAGCCGCTTGGCCACTTCCTCGAAGCGCTGCTTCAGCTCACACAAAGACGCGTATTCGTTCAGGAAAGCTTTCTGCGGCGTTGGCTCCCCTTCGTTGAGCTGCGGCAGACTGTAGAAAGTTGTTCGCTTGGCCACATTCTTGCCAAAGTTCTGCAAATGTTCACTGGAGTCCAGCGCGGCTGTCATATGTGTGCGCTGAGCGTTGCTCTCAAAGGATTTTATCTTCCGCGTTAAATTTCCACTTCCGTTCACTGTAACGCCGCTGGAGGGCTGCGGATCTGAGAAGCCCAGCTCCGAGGAGGCCTCTGAGAACTCTGTGTACTCTGTCGGCACCTCTGCCTCCTGCCCCATCGCTATGCCCTGATAACTATCCAAAACGCTGTTCAAATTCCTGCTACAACTTCGCATATCCGTAAAGGGTTCCTGGAGCAAACCAAACTCCGAGAGGTGACCCTGCAGCAGCAGCATCAACCCGTTCCGGGCTATCTTCTCTTCAGCGGTCGCCTGCCCAAAGACCTCCAGCCATTTGTCAATGATTATGCGGTCCGAACCGAAGGCCAAACCCTTGAAGTAATCCGCATAACGTGTGAGCAGCGTTTGGTAGTGATTATCCAGCATCAGCTCCTCTGTGTCCTCTTCTTCCATACTTTCAGCTGACACGCAAAAATATTGAATTTTATTTTACTTTGAATTTGAATGAAATCTTTCTGCTTGTTAGATGTTTCAGATAATGTTTTCCAGGGGATGTGTAGCTCTTAGCTTCCAGCTCAAGTGGCAAAGTCCCGCACTTCTCTTTTCTCTGCGGTTGCCTTGCCACGTATATTTTCATTAGCACAACGCTGCGCGCGTATAAATTAGGAAAATGAAGCAGCAAGCAGCAGCCAGCAGCCAGCATGGCACTTGAGTGCACCACAACCCTTACAAATGCTCCCCGTTAGGGGTGGAGCTTAACCACAGCGACACGTTGCTGCTTGGCGCTGCTGCGGCTTCTGGCTGCACGACTGCATAAATTTATATTGTTAAGCATGAGCTAGAAAAAAGCACGCGCTGCCTGTCAAAAAACAAAGCGAAGAGAGAGATGATGCAGAGCCCTGACATGGTGGAAAACGCAAAAAGAAAAAAACCAAAGAAGTCCACCAAGCAGCTGAAGCAAACTGAGTTAGAATTTAAGTTTAAATTTGAATTTCTGCCAACCTATCGATCAATCGCTCGTTTGCAGCGATCTGGCAGCGCTGCGCTCCCGCTTCGCCGCACGCTCTGGTCACACCAAAAGTCTGGCTTTTAGCGTGCTGCTCGCCCGTATTAATTGTTTGTTTTGCTTTTTCCTCGCCTTTGTAAATGGATTTCCAGACCAAATACTCGAAAAGACACTTGAATGGAACCATCTACATAGCCACACGACGCGTGCTGGAGGAGAAGCTACGATCGGAGCTGGAAAGTGGTGCGGGTGAAGTAAGTCCCCTGACCCCTCTGACACACCACGCTGCATTTTGAGGCTAAGTTTTGATTGTTTTTGCCAGCTGTATTTGCGGTTCAAGGCACCGTTTGCCGCATATGACATCGAGAAGATTGCGCAGCTGGCCGGGGAACTGGGCGAGATCTATGTGATACGCTTCAAGGTGGATTTTCGCAATGAGAGTCGCGGCTATGCCTTCCTGCAGTACATCGATGCGTCGCTGCAGGCCAAGGCCATGGAAGTGTGAGTTGGACACAATAGAAATGATAGAAAATAAAAGACTTAGTTTACGTTTTGCGTAGCCTAAAACAACGCTTTAGGGACATCAGCTTGGACATCAACATATTGCCATCGCGCAATTTACGGGAACTGGTCATGATAACGTCTGCGGGCACGTGCTTAACTCCCCTGAAGGTCTACCAGCAAATGCTCAAGCTTTGCAGCTTCAATAGCGTGCGTGTGTATGAGTACCGTCCGAACACATACATGCACGTCTTCTCCTACGTAAACAACGAGGCGGCCACGCTGGCAATTCGCCATATTCGTACCAACATTCTGCTCTTTGGGAGCGCCGCTCATGTCTCCTGGCTGCGCACAAACCAAACGCTGGACCACGATGACTTTGTCACTGAGTGCTGCCAGCAATTGGACAGCCAGATGAAGCCGGAATCTAATGCCGAATCGTGCAGTTGTTTCACCTTTTCGCGGCCACAAGTGTGAACTTAGTTTGTAAAAGTATCTTTCTGTTTTTTTTTTTTTTTTGCAACGTTTAATTACACTTTTTGTGCAAAGAGTTTGCTTTGTTTTGTGTGTGCTTCGGCTTGTGTTCGTCTGGCAAAAAGCAGCCGCAGCTTGTTGACTTCATTAACTCAACTGGAGGGCTGGAGAGCAGCATCATCATCATCATCATCATCATCATCCAAGTTAAGCCACAGGAGCAGCGGCAGCAGCAACAGGGGAATGCACTTTTTTCACATGCAAATTAATGCAGTGTCGTCGTCGTCGTCGTCGTCTTCAGCGAGGAGGGCCAGCAGTTTCAGGGCAATGCGACAACCTGCGGCATAATGCAATTAAATGAGTGCAAGGAGGAGCTGTAGCAGCAGCAGTTGTGAGTCCCGCAGGCTGGCATTGTCGGAGTCAGCTTCAGCAGCATGAAGTGGAGTGCAATGATCGACAGACAGCGACAGGTACAGGCACAGGTAGAGGCAGAGTGCCACAGCGAGTGCTCATCCATCATGACGAGACGCTAGCTGGAGGAGGACAATCTAATGCGATTGCCGCACTTGACGGGATGTCGTGGTGCAAAAGGAAACGGATGTTGTTGCCGTTCCTGCTGCTCCTGCTGTTGCAATTAAATTAGAACCTGGGATCGAAATGCAGTCGGAAATAAGACAGGAACAAAACACCGACTGCCGCCTGTCCTCATAAATATTCATTGAATTAACGTTGAGCGGGGAACATCTTTGGCGTGCGAATGGAATGGGAATGTTTTGCATTAATTTGTTAATTCAAGCGCGACAGCCACGCCCCCACATCCCCCCAACATCCCTCTGTGCACTCACTTAAATGCCATTAAAATTTGAAAGACTTCCCGGCAGAACCCAAACAGGTTAAAGCCACAGCTGTGACGCAATTACAATGGCTCAAAGTTTTGCCTCTCTAATTTCTCCTTTAGTTGCCATAGCAGCGGGCAGGAGGGAGGGAGGAAAGCGGTTACGGAAGCGTGTGACCCATTTTCCATGGCGGCAGAAACTTGGCATGAGGCTTACCTGGTTATTGCGGCAAGAGCCAATATTTGTTTTCTGATGCGAGAGTAGGCAAAAGCAAAGGATAGTGCAGAGGCGGAAGACGGAGACGGGTGCTGAAGTGCTGTGCGGCTGTGCTCCAGCTGACACAGTTTGCTTTAGGCTTTAAGGCGTCGTTTGGGTCTCTGGGATTTGGGTCACAGATTGCCCAGCAGTGGGAGGAGGCGGCTGGCCACCCAGTGTCACCGGAAAGCGAAAGTTATGCACATATTGAGTTGAAGCTTTAAGCAAAAGCCACCATAAAGCCACCCGCACTACACACTCCACCAGCTTCAGCTGTGGCTTTTTGAATGCGGTTTTACGAGTAGTTTTCTGTTCTTTCCATATTCTTTTTTTCGTTTCGTCACCACAGCAAAGAGCATGACAGATGTGCATGTGCAGCAGATGGAGTTGTAGATGCAGATGCAGATGCAGATCCAACTCCTGCCAGCCAGCACTTAACGCGCATTTTTTGATGATTTTTGAAGCAAGTTGTCGCTGGCTTGGCAATGCCATTACCAGCAGGCAGCGAGGCGGACATGCTCCATGCATATGCATGACATTTGAGCTGGTTTTGGCTCTGAATTTGGTTTACTGACAGATGCCAAAGGGAAAACGCAAAGACAAAGGATAGAAAAACGAATAGCAAACGGAACTTAAGCATCTACTTTGCATCCTGCTTCTCCTATTGCTCTCCTCCCACTGCTAATATTTTATGAATCAATTCAATTTTGTCATCAAATATTATGTACAACTCCTGGCCAGCTGCTGCCCACAAGTCCCTGGCCTGAGGACTAATCACCGGAGGGCGCAGGCCACGCCCTGCCAGTATAAATTAATGGAAAAAGTTGTGTGGGGGCGTTGGCCCCAGCAAACAGAAAGCAAAAGGCAAATCCGTGAGCTAATATTACAAAATATTCCTTCAGAGCAGTTGTTGTAAATGAGTTTATGAGCGTGTCCGTGTCCGTGTCCGTGTTTGTGTCCGTGTTTGTGTCCGTGTTTGTGTCCGTGTTTGTGTCCTTGTTTGGCGCTTTGTTTATGCTGCATATTAAATAAATTTTGACATCAGCCACGACAATTTCTACAGCGTAGTACGGCGCTCCCCACTCCCCCCCGTCTTCATCTTTGGAGTGTTTTATTTTTTTTTTTTTTTTGGGCAACTTTTCAGCTTGTTGACAATAAAATAACATTTTGCACTCACTTAGCACAGATGGGGCTTGGCTTCGTTCCCGCTGTAACTTCCACTCCCGACGGCACTCCAGCTCAAGAGTTTTAATGAAAAAAGTTTGAACTACCCAAAAGCCAAGCCAAGCCGAGGCTGGGGGCAGGGCAGGCAATGGAGTTGATTTCCGTGTACCATATTTATGTATATATCTGGTGTGTGTGTGTGTGCTTCATTAAAATGTAGACTTGATCATTGAATTTCTTGGGCAAAGTTTCGAGCAGCAGCGCTTGAGCATAACAATATTAAGCATACGCAACGTGACGCCCAATAACGAAAGGAAGAAGCCAAACGGCTGCTGCCTGCTGCCTGTTGCTTGCTGGGCATTGCAAATCAATCAATAAAACTGCCAGCGAACTCAATCGTAAGGCATTCTTTGCACACACACACAGAGAGAAAAGGCCAAGGCAAAGGCAAAGCCTCTTTCTTAACTTTATTTTACGTGCAGATTTTCCCACTGTGTTGGCTTGTGGCTCAGCTATGTGCAATATATTGAAGCATCTGCTCATACTTCGGCTCGGCCCGACATTCCAATTGAAAGCAAAATAAAACATCAAATGAAATAGAATAGAAACGGAATGGAATGGAATGGAATGGAGGTTTTCTTCAATTTAATTTCAATTTTCTTTCGTTGCCTGGACACCGACTCTTTTTTATGTCATGTTGCAGTGACAAAATACAAATAATAAAAATATATTTATGTTGCAGCAAAACTGTGCATTAGCATGGCAACACCATGTATTTGGCTCGACACTTCTTTTGCTGGTCTACAACTTTGTTTGTGCAAATTTCATTATCAACGGATGCCGCTTAAGTGCACATTGAATTCAATTAGAGTTCGCTCGTCCTGCATGTGCTGCCAATACGAAATTGAATTATAAAATATTTCCAGACAATATTCAATGCGTTCAGTGCTGTACTTTCGAGACGAGCAACGTAGCTCTGGTCAGTGGCAAAACCGCAGCAAGTTTTTGACTGGCAAACAATTTTGCAGCCAGGTCTTTAGCTTTAGCTCAAGCCTTCGATGATTAGTTGTAGAGACACGGCAATGGTGAGGCTCATCCTGGGCTTGGCTGCTGCCCAAGATGCTTCCTGCATCCTGCCACAACTACCACACACAGAGAGAGAGAGAGAGAGAGAGAAAGAGCAGGCAAACCCCAAGTAATGCTGCCTGCCTGCTGCCTGCTGTGGTGGCCATTATTTCCTGTATTTAATTGCACTACTCTCGGCTGCGGTTTTCTGCTACATTTGTTGCAGCAGCAGCCCAAGCCCAAGACCATAATGTACTTTGGCTAACCAGCTGGGGCATTACCTTTGGCAACTGCTGCTGCTTGACTGCCTCAGTTTTCCTTTGCACTTTCCTTTGCACACTCTTAATGGAGAAATCATTTTCTGCCCCCCGCAAAGAGTATCAACTGCTGCGACCTTTTCGTGGCAGCTTTCTTTTTGGCTTGACGACAGTTGCGCCTTTGTGACGTATTTGTTGGTCACTTTGCAGCAGCAGCGGGCGATGAATAGAGAGAAAAAGAAAGAGTAGAGAGACAGAGAGTGGGTGGATGGGTGCCAGAGTGCCTCGGTTGAGGTTTAAGAGTGGGAGCCATCAAATGATTTATACTTTAATAAGCGTGCAGAGGACATGCAGAGAAATTAGATGTGACCACAGCACACACACCAGGCGGCCGTTTCCTTTCCATTTTCCCACCCAAACCCAAACCGCTGCCATTTTTCTTTGACGCTTCACAAAAAGGAATTTGCGCAATTTATGAGTGGAGCCAGGCAGCAAGGGAGCGGGCAAGAGAGCACAAAAAATACCAAAGCAGCCTTCAAGGAATTAATAAGGAAGAAAAGGAAGGGGTGTGGGCATGGGATTGCTGCAAGTATTTGCGGCATTTATGGCCATTAAGGTGTGAGGTGAGAAATATGCGTGCCACCAGCACAGACCCTGACTGTGGGACATGTGCGAAGGCGCCTGCCCAGACCTACGACACTTATGCTTCGGTTTGGAGTAGAAAACTTGTCTGAATTTTCGCATCCATAGCAGGCGCAACTTTGGGTGTTATATCATAGATCGAAGCCAACTGCCAGTGTGTTCGTTGCCTTCGTACGTTTCGGGTCAGCGCTCAAAATTTAAGTTTTTCGCTGGTAGAAATTTTTCTGCCGGACTTCCCTTCGAAATTTAATACTTTAAAGTCCCAAACTTTGATTGCCTGCCCCGCGAAATGTCGGGGCTGCTGAATGAAGCTGCTCTCGACGTACACTTTGCCGCACAGACGCGTGTCCTGCAGCTAGTCCTAACGGATAAAATAAGCCACAATGATCACGCACTCGCCCAGAAGTGGGTGAGGAATTGCAATCGGTCGTGCAGGAACGACAAGTACGCGCGGAACTGCTTGATGCTGCTGCTGTACGGACAGCTGAAGGACCTGGGACGCCTGAGCGAACCCTTTGTGAGCGAGAAGAATCTGAAGCTCAGCTTGCAGGAGGTGCTGACCGAGTACGATGGGAATATGACGGAGCTACGGGCTACACCCAGTGAGTACTTCCAAGCGGAGGCGGGCCATGACCCGCGTTTGGTCAATCGCGCCACGGAGCCCATGGGCAAGTTTTCACCGATGAAGCAGGCGAATCAAGTGCTGAATCAGGTCAAGGTTGGGCTGCACGCAGTGCCCGTGGGGAATAATGCACGAATGCTGCCACACAGCCACACGCATCATCAGATTCCGGGACACTACATGGCCAGCCACATGGTGCCGCAGCAACAGCAACAGCAACAGCAACAGCATCAGCAGATCCATCACCAGCAGCAGATCCATCACCAACAGCAGAGCCAGCAGCTTCATTCGCAGCATCAGCAGCAACAGCCGCAACAGCAGACCCATCACATGGAGCATACCCAGCAGCAGCAGCAAGATGAAAATCTAATCGAAAATGTTTGGAACTTCTCACTGCAGGCCATTGATCGCTTGGACAAGTGGCGCGGCAGCGACGACAAGCTCGGGTTCTTCTCGCTCTGCCTGCGGCCTTTGATCATACAGGAGCCGGGCATACGTCGGAATGTCCCAGAACTCGATCACAGACTGGCCATGGTGATCCATCAGATCATAGACGATGCTGCCGCCTCGATCACTGCCAAGGAGAATGCCGTGCTGCAGGAGCGAGCGAATCAGCTGCTGCGACGCCAGGAATTGGAGCAACTGAGGGCCAATCTGGACCGTCGGGAGGTGGAGTTGCGTCGCCAAGAGGCCATGGCCGTGAAACTGAGCGAGCATCAGCAGCGTTCGCACTCCCCAGCCGCAGATCCAAGGCCAACACGTTACGCTGACGAGCGCCAGCATCCGCGTCATCCGACGCCGAACAAACTGCCTCCGAATGCGGCTCCCTTGCCTGCGGGCCAGTGCACACATTTCCAGGACAACGAGCAGAATGAAGGCGGAGCAACCAGGGAGGGAGCGGACATTAATTACATTTGCCCACAGTGCGAGATGGAGACATCGGCGGTGACTTTCAACAGCGTGGAGTTTATGCAGGGCGAACAGGCGGTCGAGCAGCCCCAAGATGCGCTGATGGACGGTGAATCCCTGGAGGAGTCCACCAATGGGATCAACCAACAGTGGTGATGGCATGCCGGACACACATTAGACACAACAATAAAAAAAAACAACAATTCTTTGAAGCGCTTGCCCCATCGTTTGTTGTCTTTTTTCTCGTGTCTGTCAACGGCAGAAGTTTTAATGTAGTTTTAATTTTCTAGTAATCACAGAGGGGCGCTGGAAACTTGGCCGACACATTGGTACGGGCACGGGTAGGGACTTGCAGGGCAAAGCAGCTTTGTTCGTAATTAGTTTTTAAGTGAGAGTTTTGTGGCAGGAGGCGAAACCACGGGGGGCAGCCAATGTTGTGTGTTCCTAAGAACTTCTTAACGATGTTCGTCTGCCAATAATGGTCTGCTGCAATTGATTTTACTGCGGAATGCGAGCATGGATTCATGTTAATCGATAAGCAAATAAAAAGTAAGGCCAACAAAATGCAGGGAGTTTCAATTTTAACAAATATATATTTTTGCAAGCAGCAGAATCCTCCGTAAAAACTTCCCAGCAACTGCTTGAATGAGTTGCCAAGAGCCAATACATTCCTCCCCCAGCCACTGCTTGCCTGCGCTGCATGACAAAAGCTCAAATGTGTAGCACCGCTTGTCGCTGCAAGTGCTGGAGCGAGGAGAGCCAAAGGCACAAAGCGAACAAAAAGAAGAAAAGTTTCGCCGCTGACTTTAACGATGCGCACAGACAGCAGTCAAAGTTCCGAGGCAAAAGAAAAATGGCAAAAAATTTGAGTAAGTGCCGGAAAAGCCAAGACGAACGCTGCTGACATTAGTGGGCACAAAAATAAACGACAAATTTTGTGTAGAAGAATTTATGTGTGCAAGCAATTAGGGAGCCAAAGCAGAGCCACACTGTTGCGGCGTATTTGCTTGCAGGGTGAAAGGAGCAGGAGGATTAAGTAAACATCTGCGACCACAATCTTCCAGAAAAGGGGCAACAAAAGTTGCACTCTAGCAACTATCCGGCACAGCCCGAACATAACCATTATGGGAGTGAATCATCCACTGGCGTGCTTGTTGTTGCTTCATTCACATTCAGCAACATCGCTTAATGGGTTTCCTCTTCTGCGAATGACAACTTTGCTTGGGCTGGCACTTTGCAGACTGTTCACGACACTGGAAAATAGAAATGGCCACAGCTATTGGCTTTTGGGGCACAAGCTGCGGGTTAATAAGTTACACAAGTCTCCCCGTGTCCTGTACTTTGTCGTTTATATTTACACTGGGGAAATGTGTACATTCTTCTTGGAAAAATGCCGTTTGGCAAAGGTCTCAGCCACTATGAGGGGAAACACCAAACTGGCTTCGGCGTAGACTTTCACTGGCGTCGCCTCTTTGCGTATCTTGCCCCAGGATATGGCCTCGTCGGGTCGTGCGCCACTGTCGCTGCCATCAAACTCCGAGGCGGTGTTAATGAACACCGAGTAGTCCGCGCCATTGCGCATCAAATTGGCATTGCAAATGTGATGCTTGATCACGCCACCGCCCACAATGATCATGCCGCTGTTGACGGCCTTCACGGCCATCGTGTTGAGGCGTCGCAGATCGGAGAGAATGTCCACGACGAGGCCAGGCTGCCGGAACGAGTGGAAGTACATCATGTCGCCCAGGCTGCCGTCTGTGAGCGCTGGACAGAAGACGGGTATGTGATTCTTGGCTGTCCAGTAGTAGATCGAGCTGGGGTCCGCAATCCGTTCGCCCAATCGATTGATGATGCGAGACGGAGACCAGACCGTGCCCTTGCCGCGCTGCTCCTCCAGCATTTCATCGAGCAGCGGCATCAGCCAGTCCTCAAATTTGCAGTAATTGTCATTGGGCACGAGCAGATTGCCAATCCGGTTGATTCCCCGGTCGCGCAGCTCACGTCCGTTGAGCTCAAAGGAGCCCATGAATGTGGGTGCAAGGCATTTGATGAAATCCTCCTCCACACCGCCAGCGGTGGTCACAATGCAGTCGATCATGCGATGCTCGGCAAGGAAACGTATCGTCTCTCGCATGCCTGACGACACCAGGTTCGAGGTGTAGCCCAGGAAGATGGTGCACTTGCTTCGCCGCCGAATGAAGTCGTCCGTTTCATGGAGGTCCTCCTGGTCTGCTTCCAGCGGTTGTGCCCTGCAATCCAGCTGTCAGTGTTTAGTGCTTGAGTTGCGCATAGCTACAGATTCAATTGGACTCACCATTTTGTTGATTTCTTGCATGGCCAGGCCGAGATTTGTGGCCTGAAATCCGGTGTTTACATACGACTCGAAGAGTTTGCTGTAATCCACGCCCTGGTTGAAGTCGTAGCCGTGCACCTGGGGCGTGCCCTCAGGAATGCGCTCGCTACGCTTCAGCACTGCATCTTTGGCTATTTCTGGTCGCGCTGACATGGTTTAGTTTATAAATTTAAACAAATTCTATGGTAAATTCAACATGTGCAGCCTGCGCGCGGATTTATCGATAAGAAATACCGTGAGACCCTCAGGAAAATACCAAAATATACCATATAATTTTCACAATATACCGCAATTATACAGCTGAAAAGCTTATAATTCTTATAAGTTGAGCACAGTAAAGACACCCTGAGGCCGCCGAAACATCCCGAAAAGTATATATTCTATAGTAAGCCGTCACTCTGCTTACCAACACTCGGAGCTATCGAGGCCAAAGTGACAGTATATTTTTGTCATATTTGTATTTTTCGGAGGTCATTTTGGGGATCGATTATATCGATAAAAGTTCAATATGTATTTTCTTCTGATGACACCTTGTTGTGCTCATCCAATCGTGTAGTTGTCATGTAGAATTGACATTAGCAGAAAATTGTGTGTGGACTTCTTTAGTTTAAATTTAATTTTCTAAGCTGTGCAACAAAAGCGAATGCTTAAAACCAACTGAACTTGTAGGAAATTAAATAGTTGATCGGTTAAAATTGTAGCTTCAGTGCATAGTATACCAGCTAAATCCTAAATCCCAACCCGAATATCAAATTCGCGAAATATCATTTCGCCAGTCCTTTCTTTTGCCATCCATTCAGATGTGTAGAAAACGAAGTAAAGAAAGCAAAGCACTCCACTGACTCGAAGTGATTTTTTTTCACATCAATTTTAAATTTACGGTAAGGGTAATTATAAATTTCAACAAATTACACACAAAACATTGCAAAAGTTAATAAAAACAAATATGCAACCAATTTAGGAAGGAAAAGCGAGCGAGCAACGAGCGCTGAAATAAACCCGCGAATCATCCGAAGAAGACGAGGGGACGCCAATTATAGCAGCCAACAAAAATATAGAACAAAAATGATTAAACTCTTTACGCTGAAGCAACAAAAGAAAGACGGTGACCAAAAAGGGAGCGGTGGCCAGCAAAAGAAAGCATCGGCTGCCCAACTGCGCATACAAAAAGGTAAGTACGATACGTGCGGGTGTGTGGTGTGTGGCATTGGCACGGGGGAAGGGGATGTTGTTTTGGATTAATTTGTTTTTCTGGCCCCCAGTCCAAGTTCATCATACAGACATTTTTCATGCTTGTTCTCTTGCCCAACAGATATTAGCGAACTGAACCTGCCAAAAACTTGTGTGACAGAATTCCCGGATGCCGATGATTTGCTCAACTTCAAATTAATTATGTGCCCGGACGAGGGCTTCTACAGAGATGGTCGCTTTGTGTTCAATTTCCGCGTGGGCTCCAACTACCCGCACGAGCCACCCAAAGTGAAATGTGCAACGCAAGTCTACCATCCGAACATTGATCTCGAGGGCAATGTGTGTTTGAACATATTGCGCGAGGACTGGAATCCAGTGTTGACCATTAACTCGATAGTCTATGGCTTGCAATTTTTATTTTTGGTTTGTAGACAGACCCAAAGATATCCCCATCCGTTTGTACTGTGTGTTAACCCATTGCTCTTTGCAGGAACCCAATCCTGAGGATCCGCTGAACAAGGAGGCCGCTGATGTCCTGCAGAGCAATCGTCGCCAATTCGAGTACAATGTGAAGAAGGCGATGCGCGGCGGTTGTGTGGGCGAGACCTACTTCGAGTGCTGCCTCCTCAAGTGATATAGGAAATCAAACAGTCTTTTATTAATTTAAGCCTCTGCCTCCCTCCCCCACGCATTAGAGAGAAGAAGGGTTAATGCACTTGGCAGCGGACAACAGAAACAACAACAAATTATTGTAATAAATGAAAGAAAAAACCACTGCGTAAACCGAAGAAAACAGTCGAGTTCGAGTCGCCTCATCGATGCCCAAGTTTAATACAATTAATTATTCAATTTAGCCATTTATATGCCGCTATCCCCCCGCTGTCAGGCTTCACAGGTGTATGCTGTGCCTGGCCATTTGCATGTTGCGCCACAAGCAGAGATCCGACACTGCCGCCTGTCGCCCGCCCGGAACACGCAGGTCGTAGAGTCTGCTGATGAGACCCACACGTATGTCCTCGGTGGGCAGCACCTTGAGCAATTGCTGCACGAGATTCGCTGGCAGCAGTCGGAGCACGGGCGCCACGCGCTCTCCACCGCACTCGACCAGCAGCGAAATGAATTGATAAACGAAGACGGCCTTGGGTGACAGCTCATCGCCGCTCACAAATTGTACAAATACACCGAAAATGTGCTGAATACTCGACTGCAGCGGCTCCCTCAAGCTCAGGGGTGTGGCACGCACCTCAGTGCTGGACGGTGAGGCAAGACGCGGGCCGCCTGCCAAGCCCGCAGCGGCGTTGTCTGTAAAATCGTTTGAGTTCTCGCTGCCATCGCCAATGACTTTGCGCAACTTGGCCACATTGCTGGCCTGCTCCTCCTCATCATGGGAACGCGAGCGTTTCTTCAGGGAGGAGGAAGCCGCAGCGCTGCGCGTTTCCAAACAAGAGATGACACAGTAGACGCAGAGTCGCGCCAGCACCAGCGACTGCGGCTCATTTATGTCCTCGCTGCAAAACAGAAAAGGAGCAAGCAATAAGCAAGGGACTTGCTGTCATCTCAGTGGAGTTGGCTTACCCCTGACGACGCAGCATCAGCGGTGGCACCACATACTGCAGCAGCGCCTCGGTGCTCTTCTCAATGTCCAGATGCATGACGGCAAACACAATGTCCATGGCTTTGGACATGTCGCGTATGTACTTGCAGGTGAGCAGCTGCTCCACCAGTTGCGTGGCCAGCCACGCAGCACCACCAGCCAGCAGCAGCGACTCCAGCGTCTGAGCAGCGCGCACGGGCAAATGCCCCGCCTCGGCCACCGTTTTCCACACCTCGCGGAACTGCTCGATGAGCGGCGAGTGGGAGATAAGGCGGGACTTGGTGCTGGGCGCGGGATGCACATCGTGCTGCATTTTTCTGATGATTGGATAGGAGAGTGCGAGCCGCTCCTTGGCATACTCCTGGCTGGACAGCTCCTCGCTGGTGAGCGGCGCCAGAAACTGCTGGATCATGTTGAGGGGCTTCAGCAGCTCCGTTTCCCGCACCGAATACATGTAGGCGCACAGAAAGCTCGTGGCGCAGACGGAGAAGCTGAACAAACGTCGCTTGATGTTGTCCAGAATGCTCTTGACGTCCGCCGAGGAGAGTGTCTCCTGCTCCCAGGCAATCAGCACGTGATGCAGCACACCAGGCAGATTCAGGCACGTCTCCTGCCAGCTCAGCGTGCAGGGCTTCAGTTGTGCGGCCTCCGGTTTGCTCAGACTCAGCAGCAGCTCATCCACCATGCTGTCATCGCAGAGCGCCAATATCTGGCGTGGATTCTTCAACTTGTTACGCTCCACCATGCACTCCCTCACCCACTTTTCGAAGAACGAGTCCCCGCGGTCGGAGAGCACAACCTGAAAAGTAAAGGCCACAATTCTTAGTGCATCAAATTCTCAATTTTCTGTGGCTTATGCTCACATCTGAGCCATAGGTCTGCACAATGCTGGTGAGCATCAGAAAGGAGACATCAAACAGCGTGGAGCGCGTGACATTGAGCTTGCCCAGCTCCGCGGGCACTGGCTTGGAGTTCTCATTGCACTGAATCAGCCGCGAGACGAAGGTCTTCAGTCGCCCATCCACGGTGGCCACTGAGAGTATCAGCTCGAAGCTATTGCCCACCGGCACCTGGCACAGCACATTCACCATGTCCTGCACTTTGTTGGTGCACAAAGTCTTAAGCACGCCCGAGAGCGGCACCTCGGCGCGCTTGATGAAGATTATGTTGGAAGGCGTCTGCTGGCCATTGTCGCACTTTTTGAGCAGCAGCGAGGAGGCCTCACTACGGGGTAGAGCAAACATTAGAAAGAGTTATTTGTGGGAGTTTAGAGTGTAGACCCACCGCTGACTGGCAAACTTCTTCACATGCACATCGTTCACCAGCTGCTGTTTGGTCCAATCGTTGAGCAGGAATTCAATCATGTTGCACGAGCATTTGGTGTCCATGTAGTCCAGCAGCAGATTATCCTGTATGAGCAGCTCCAAGGCCTCCACCAGCTCGGGTATATAGTCCGCGGGTGGCGGCTGTTCGCCGGGCACACGCTGCAGCGCATGCAACTGTTTGATGATGTGCGGCATCTTGAAGAACATAAATGCGCCCCACATGGTGTCCGGACTGGTGTCGGCCACATTGCTGAGCGTGAGGAAGCCCGCGCGTATAATCTCGTAGAACAGACGCGTGTTGGTGTAGCGCTTCAGGCGCTGCAGCATTTGCAGCTCCGCCACATAGTAGCTGGTCTCCTTGCAGGGTATGAGCAGCACCTCAACGGCCAGCAGTGGCTGCACGCAGTACGAGATCTTCTCCGCGGGCAGCACATTGAGCTGCTGCAAGTCCAAATGGGAGACATCTATGTAGGCAAACTGCTGCAGCTGCTGCTCCACGCCGGGCGAGCTGAGCGTAAAGTTGGAGTTGGTGAGCGAGCCCTTGATGGTCGCATATTTGTCGCGTATCTTGCCATGGCACTCGAACTCCTCGTGGCAGCCCACGTACAGCATGGAGAGCATGAACTGATGCTGGCTAATACGATCGATGACGGCACAGGTCTGGTCCAGCATGTACGACTGCTCCGCACTGATCTCCCCGTACAGCTCATAGTGCAGCACGGTGCGGGCAAAGATCTGGAGCAGCCAGTAGACCAGCTGTACGACAGCGCCCGGCAGCACAGCCTCCTCCGATTTGATGCGACAAGTGACACCATCCACAATGCCAACTAGAAACTCCAGCAACGATGTGATACAGTAGACACGCTCCAGCTTATCATATTTGGCAATGCAACGGAGAACAGCGCCATGCGAGACGAGGTGCGCGCACAGCGAGTGCTTCAGGTAGTTGAGCACCAGCTGAAAGGGATAAACAAACATTATTAAGGTGCAGCTTTGACTCAAGGCAGGGAAAAACCTACCGGATTAGCCGTGGAACCGATGAGCGCCTGCTGCATGAGGCAATCAGCCAGATTGTAGACATCTCCGCTGACACCTCGAGGCAGCACCTGCAGCAAAACACAAACAAACATTTCGCATCAGTGCTGTCATTGACATTCCTGTTCAGGTTTTTCTTTAGCCAAAAACAAATACAAAGCGCCTCAAACATCTAACAACAAATAAATACAAACATCTCTGTGAATTTTTACCAACAAAATGCAACGTTTGTGTCTGTACGCGGTCCGCGCGCTTCGCACCCGAAAGCCCTCGCGTCTGTACTCCAAATACCAATTTAAGGAGCCAAAAACCTTCTACTATCCCGATCGTACAGCAGAAACTGAACGCAAAAGTGGCGTGATCAATGAGCAAACCCAGCGCCAGCAGCTCGAACCCAGCTGCAAGCCGAGGGACTTTTACTACAAGGTGCTGGGCGTGGGCAAGTACGCCAGCAGCAAGGAGATACGCAATGCCTACCTGATGCTGGCCAAGCGCTATCATCCGGACAAGATGCGCTCCGAGAAGTCACTGAAACACTTTCAGGATATCTCCAATGCCTATCACATACTCACAGACGATAACAAGCGGCTGGAGTATGACCAGCTGGGCGGTGTCTCGGATGAGCAGGCATTCCTCGAGATGGCCACGGTCAACCCAACAATCCTGGGGCAGAAGCTGAACGAAGCGAAGAAGCTACAAGCGGAAACAGATGCCAGCGATGGTGAGCGAGACTTTTGGTCTTGAAATGTGCAATAAAATTCCTCTCTCTGTTCAGAAATCGACAAACTGATGCGCGCCAAGGGCAAAAACTGTGAGCTCGAACTCAAGCTCAGCTTTGAGGAAGCCGCCAACGGCTGCAAGAAGCGCTTGGACGTGCACTACCTGCGCAAGTGCGCCAAGTGTGGCGGCAAGTCGCAGCTCATGACCCACCGCGATGTCGGCAAGGAGCCCTGCCGGCGCTGCAATGGCTCCGGGCAGCTGACCCGACGCACCGTGACCTTTACATCCGCCAAGACTTGCGAGCAATGCCAGGGCAAGGGCTACATCAATCGGCGTGACTGTGAGCCGTGCGGCAATCGCGGCTTCGTTCTGTCCAGTGTCGAGGTGCTGGTTAAGGTGCCGCCTGGCTCCAAGGACGGCGAGGTGATGACCATCCAGAACCCAAACACCAATGAACGCATCAACTATCGCCTGGTGGTCGAGCGCAGTGTCTACTTTCGCCGTGATGGCCTGAACGTGTACAGTGACAAGTTGCTCACCATATCGCAGGCCATTTTGGGCGGCACTTTCACTGTGCCCGGCCTCCATGAGCCCGTGGAGCTACGCGTCGCCCCCGGCACGCAGCCAAACACGCAGATAACAATCAAGAGCAGAGGCATACGCTCCGAGCAGGGTGTGGGCAATCACATAGTCACCTTGAAGGTGTTTATACCCACGAAACTGTCCATGAAGCAGCGTCTGCTGTTCTTGGGTTTGGCCCAGGCGGAGGATCCCATTTTCGAGCGTCAAACCGCAAGCTCCTATAGGAACTCCGAACTCTAACTGTGTTAAATTATCTGCTCTAATATATTTTGTCAATTATTCTGTTAAATTTCAACGATTTAGTGTGCATATTTGAAAAACAAAAACTATTGATTGTTGCCTTTCCACTCACCTTCTTGATGTTGATGCCCCATTGCGAGTCCGACCAGCGTTCGCGCCACGCCACATAGATCAGCTGAAGGATTTTGTTGTTCTCCTTCATATCCCTCGCAGGAAGTCTCCTTCAGTGTTGCGTTTATTTATATTTTTTCAAACTTTTTCGG